TTTTTTTATCATCGTTGATTATTTCTATTTGAGTAGGGAAAAAAAACTGGAGCCCAAACAACCTATTCCTAGAAATTAGGTAGAAGTCAAAGAGTACGTTGTAAATGGATCAACAGTGTCATAGAGATCCAAAGCCAAAATAATAAAGCAAGAAAAAAAAACAGACACACATTCAATTTAAATACTCAAATGACACTGTCATATTGTGTGTTGCCTGCGCTTTTTGTCCGTGCATATATTTATTAATATTTTGCTCAAACATGTTCTCAGACGGTATCGTCATGTTTTTGGCATGTCTTCTTCTTCTCTCTGTATCTCTCTCAATCTCTCTCTCTCTCTCTTCCTTCCCCTCTCGCTTTTGCCATTGTCTTCTGTTTGCGATTATTTTTCTCGGTTGGCTCGCCGATTTCTTTCTGCAGTTGTTTACTCATTTTATACTTCGTTCTTGTTCAAGTGCAAAGCGGTTGAATTCAATATCATATTCTTGTTTGTCTTATATGTAGATTTTGTGGGCGCAAAATATTTCCATATCGTATCAAAACCGTATGCTTAGACAACAAAGAAGTAGCTGAAACGCATGTCTCTTGCACATTTTCAAACCAAATATTCTCTCTTCTTCTAGACCAATTTTCGTTTCGTCGTCTGTTAATTTCTCTCGATTGATTGTACACATTGGACGTAGTTTCTTTGTGCATTTATTGCTATTTTCAGAGCGGCGAAACAAGCAATTCCGACGACTAGACAAATTTTATTGCCAAAAAAAAAATCTCGATCATCTTTGCTTCTGAACAAGCAATAACAATGAACGGATGAAAAAACACACAAGCGAAAAAAAATTCCGTACATTGTGGGCTTCGGCAAAGTCGAGTGTGTTTCTCAGCTGTGAGACGACTGATTCAACACTCACTTGAAAGTGATTGAGCGCGAGCAAGCGCGCTCTCTCGTTCGTGTGTGTGCGTATTTCTATTTCGCTCTTGTTTTTATTTGCTCATATTCATCATTGGATTCCGTCGTTCGTTTGCATTTGCTCAAAGGTCAACCGTGCAAAAAACGAGTGTTTGAATCAGTTTCCAGCGAAGAGAAGCGAAGATTTGAAATAAACGAAGCTAACATTTTCAGATTTATTCCACTTGTATTTTGTGGTTTTTTTTTTTCTTTCGTTAATTGCTTTTTATAGCAGGCTCTATAGGCACACGAATGCGTCGAGCTGTTGAATTTCAAACATTGGCTCGGACCCATATTTTGTTTGCAAATGTTTTGATTTCGAGCTAATAAAAGAGAAACGTCGATGCAAAAAGATAACCATGATATTATATGGTCGAATTTCGCATGAAAATGGCTTGTTTTCGAGCTGATCATCCATCGAGTTTGGTGATCTTGTGTGGCAAATATCGTTTATCTATGTCATGTTGCTACCATATCGGCAAGTTTCACAACGGCACACACGTATATGTTCACAAAGCATCAAATAACAAAACGCGTAAAGTTTGCGCGTTTTATTCGCCATCGCACAGTATTCAACCTGTTGTAAAACGGCGTTTGGATTTCATCATCTGCGGAATTAAGTCCTTTGTTTAAGAGCAACGGCGGCAGCAGCTCTCTCTCTCTCTAGTTTACTTTGTCGCATGAATTAATGACAGGAAAAAAAAAGTGCTCTCGCGTATTGAGCAATACAAGCAGAGAGAATCGATAAAAGCCGTTTGGAGCTTCGAACACGCGCGCGAATTAAAATACAGCTGCTAAATATGATTATTGTTGCTTGATATTTATGTATATTCGAAAGGTTTCCCGACATATACATACAATTAGCGCACACATGGAGCGTCTACGCATAGTTTGTTGCTCTCGGTGGATGGTGTGCGTGTATTTATACACAGTCGTTGATCCATCAATTACGCATCACTATGCGAACTGCGTGAACGCACACAGAATTTGCTGTTTGAACGAAGAAGCACAGAATCAAAGTGGAAAAAAGGCTGTTGTGTCTTCTGCGGCTTGCCTTCGGAAATTGCGAGCATTGATATTAGTTGCTACCAGAAAAAAAAATTGCCGCAAATGTGAGCCTAGTGAACAAGAAAAGAAGTCGAAAAAAAAAAACGTGCGACTCAAACCAAAAAAAGAAGTCGAAAAACGCACACACACACACAAACGCTTAACAAGAACACGTACGCATGTACACACATTTGAGAATTGAGTGCTACCTGTCCTTGGTATAGAACATCGATTTGCTCATGTGGTGCTAAATTCGTTGCCGAGCGTTTCAAACGCAGTAACAAACAAAAAATATGAGATTATATGAAACTATGAAATGTAGACAAACACGCGTCTTTATTAACTCTTTTTTTTCTTTGTTAATTTGATGTCTAAATAAGAATGTACATTCGAAGTAAAACCGCATTTTGTACACGTTCTTCCGTTCGATTCCATATCAACAAAGTGAGATCGCATCATTTTGAAAGTAATATGTATCGAAACGTTAATGTTTATTTACCGCCAACTCGCTGGAAACAATATTCTTATTCGCCTTTCCATTGTTTCTGCACCGGAATTCGGAAATATTCATATTCACATTCATTTTTGTTTTGCTCCATAGAAATTTGTATTTCGTTTGTTATCGCTTGGTTCTTAGAGGCCATTAATGGATTTAATTATATGGTGTTGCCTTACAAATCGGCATAAACAAATGAATATTCCATAAATTGGCTGGCATTTTATACAACAGCAAGAAGAAGACAAGAAGCAACGAATCAAAGTGCGAAAAATAAGGAATAAAAAATTTAAAATATATATCGAACTACAAACGACTTGCATAACTTATAAAATGCATGAAGTGATAAAAACAAGCCAGGTCTTCAGTGTTTTTTCCGCACCTTTTATCAATTAATTCAACAAAACAGCCGGAAGGCAGCAGCGAAATAGCACAAAAAAAAATTCTTTATCATCCGCCTCGAAATAGATTTATTAAGTTCAAAATGACAAGTCGTCTGACTCTGTAAATAGAACGAAAATTGTAAACAATGTTGTCAATTGTGCGCACAGTGATTGTGTAGCGTTTTGGACTTTTTTTTAATGCCGTTCATTGTTTGATTGTGCCGCAATTTGTGAGCAATGAACCGATCGAACGCGCAATACAATGGATAAACGACCTCATCTAAAGTCAAATCGACCATTTATGCGCACATGCATGCACGCATTCAATGGAATGCGCTTGACTTACATAATTCGAAACTATTATATAGCGATCGATTTCCACGTTTATTAATCAATTTTTTAACATTTATTTGTTTTTTCACTTTTTTTCCCCTCCGTTTTGTAGCTAGTGCAATTGTAACGAGTGCTACAACTGAATGCTGAATTAGTTCCACGAAAACGCAAAAAAATTGAAACACACCGACTGCTGTTCAAACGAAAGGGAAACAAATACGCGAAATACAAAAGAAAAGCCCCTAGACCAATCAAACATACACATCACACACACACATTCACTCGCTCATTCATGATAAATGGCTAAATAATCTCTCTTTCTCAACGAATCAACCAATTCGCAAAGGCATAATAAATCAACATAGTGGTCGAATGTGTGCAAAACCGTGCGAAATCGGACACAAGTGCAAGTGAAATTACGCACAGTGGTTATATTTATTGCATTCGTTTTAGAAAAAGAAAAGAAAAACACGCCGAAACCAAATCGTTAAACTGTAACAAAAAAAAGAGAGAGAGAGAGAGAGAGAGAGAGAGAGAGAGAGAGAGAAAAAAAGAACACAAAGAGAGCAGAAGCGATTATAAAATATAAAGCGATTAACATAAACCAGAAAATAAAAAAAAAACAAATAAATGAAAAGAAAAATAAATACATTTTAGTAGTAGATAAATATTTATATATATACGTGTTCATGTTGAGTGCGGTAATTGTTCATTGAATAACGACGTGATTGATAGAGCATTTTCATTTTGTCTATATATTATTGCCGATGATTATTGCAATTGCTAGTTTTGCTGTGTGCTAAACGAAGTGAAACAGAAAATTCGAATCGCGAATCGGACAGAAGAATACCTCATCCACTCACTCACTCCGCCTGGCAAAACGCAAAGAAGAAGAAGACTTTGTACCGGCGACGCAATAAAACTCTGTCTACGAGGACGAAACTAAAGCAAATAGACGGAGAGAAAAGCGAAGAAAAAAAAACCGAAACGAAGAATTACATATTGATGATTAATTTTGCTGCTTAGGTGTATTTTTTCTATAAAATTACGACGCACAACAATTGAACGAAGAGTTCAAATGAACGTATTGAAAAAAGTGTGAATGAAGTAAACAAGCGGAATAAAAAAAAAAGCCACTACAAAACGATCGAAACCCAAAGCTAACAACGGCAACAACAACAATCACTTTCAACACTCATTTTAACGAAAACGGCCCCGGCGCAAATACGCTTCGACCGACAGCACAGATAAGATAACGCAGCAAAAACACATTTCACTTGCAATCGAAACAATCGTATCTGAATGCAGCGAAGCAGTAAAACACAAGGATTTGTAATTTTGTGAGTGGCGTGAATTCAGCACAAATCGGCCAAACCCAACAAGAAATCCAACAACACACCGTTCGAATCGTCGTGATATTGATTTAAAACACTCACCCACACACACACCTCGGTGACCAGACAAACGGTCGGATTTCGTTCATTTGTGTGGATTGGCCAGAAAACACGCCGCCAAAATGGTTCTATTCATATTTCACGTGAACACGGGCACAATGATGACGTTCGAAATGGAAATGGCACTACAAACGTAAGTTTTTTTCTTTCAATTATCACTAATTAAATTTGCAAACCCATTTGTTTATATATTCATTCAAGTCTTCCATGTATACTTCATATTGCAATTTCCCTCTCTCGTTCCTTCTATTCTACGCAATCGTAATTCATTTTGCAAATAAATTCGTTCTTGACTGACGAGAGTGCGCTTGAAATTGAACAAGAACACAACAAATCGGCAGCTGCTATTGTTCAAGTACCTTCGTCTAAACCGATATCAATTCGGACAGCACAATTTTTAACGTCAAATAAAAATGCGGCGGAGGCGATGGCGGACAGAAATTGAATACAAAGACGACGACGAAAGAAAGAAAGAGAAAAACGAAACAGCATGAGCAAACCACATTAAATAAACAAGTGATTTGTAGTAGTCATTGAGGCAAATGATAAAAATAGTCGCGCAAAAACGTCACACACATTCGCATCAAATTGCAGCTTGCTCATTCGTTAGTTCCGAGTGTAATTACGAACGAGTATTGCTACTATTCGATTTTGGTGTACTTTTTGTTTACGACTTTGAAACGAACGAAGAAAATGAAGCAAAACGAAAAGCGAAAAAAATCAGCGTAAAACGAAGCAGCTCAAATCAATCGATAGAAAACAATTTGGAAATGACTGCATGTTGACAATTTTTGACGCAAGCTCAAACTTAGAACTACAACTATTTTCACTATAGCTCGTTCCACTCGCAAATCGATCCGAAGTGAAAATGGTGCTGTTGTTGTTTGTTTGTTTTTTCAATTATTATTCGCTAACTTTGAAATGACGAATCGATAATTCGAGCAGATATCTCTTTTGAATGTCATAAAATATTAAAATCCAATAGCCCTGCCCAGCAATAAACGGTCATTATTCTCCATGAGCTCGCCACAATATTGTTGTTGTTGTGATTTGGCTTGCCTGTCGCTTGACGTATTCAAATGATCTGTTTTGTTGATTTACTTTTTTCGTCGTTGTCGTCGCCATTGCCATTCGCAGTCGATTTGTCTACGGCGTCAAGAGAGCAAGAGACAATTTGCAAAGACTTTTCTTTATTATCATGGATTACGCACACTTACAATTCCAGTGGCACATGATATTGTATCTACATTTCCAATGTTTGCACCATTTATATGATATCGACGTCATTCATTCCAACTTTGACCAATCTTATTAATCATTATCAACGTCATTCGAAAATCGAAATATCGTCGAGACAACTGAAATAACGAATCAAAGAAGAAAACGAAAAATGAAAGACAGTAATTTCACATTAACATGATACCGTTAAGCCTAAATAACAGTTGTTGTATTGAACTCTGACTCATTCCATTGGAATTGATGCGAAACCGAATATAGCAGTTACATGCAGACACATAACAAAAATAGAGTTGTTACTTCTCGATAAATAAACGAGTGCAAGCAAAAAAAAAGAGAGTGCGAGAAAGAAAAATGGTTTGGCGTCATTTTGAGGTTCATACGAATTTGAATAAAGAAACGATGGCGACAAGTGGCGGCCATACAATGATTAAGTGTTCACTTTTTTTTCCATGAAATTTTGATGAAGTCTGCTGTTGTCGCTCGACGAATGAAGTGGTCTTTTTTTTTAGATCGATTTGCTACGGCCTGGCTTCGGAGACAGTGGGGCTTTGTCTTGGCGACTCAAAGCTTCCATAGGGTTAAAGCTGAAAGTCAACACACTGCACATTTGGTGTGCGTAACCATATTCGATGCACGCCAATAATCGTGTACCAAGCCATTGCACTGTGGAAAAACTCAAGTATCTAGCAAACTTGCTTACATATGTGTACACACGTATTTTCTTTGTGCGTTTTTCCGCACAATTCAGTCATACCGTTTCCATTCCACACAGACCGTGTTTGTGTACGTATGCCATTTCTCGGTATCGACTTATAAACACCACGGACTCTAATGGCGCACACGTTTTTCCGTATGCGAAGGCGTTCAACTCACTACATTCCTTGTAGATGAATGGAAAATGAAATGCGTATTAAGTATTTTTTTTCGGATTTAGTGCCTGTCAAAAAAATTGCTCATTCGGTTGACATAGTTTTTCGTTATTGCGTCTTTCATTCTGCGATGTGTGTCTGATTCAGGCATCGCAATGTGAAAATATGTAAATGCTGAACAAAGATGATGATGCCGTTTAATATTTTTCACCCCCGTTGAGTTGTGTGCTGTCATCAGCCTCAACTTTATCTTGCTCGTCTCACTCTCTTTCTCTTTGGTTGATTATAAACTATATTTCTGCCGAGGGAGGCATTGAAAATATGCCAATGTTTATTAATGAACATGACAGCAGTAGCAAATGTACCGCAAAGACTAAACAAAAACAAATTGCGCGACAAACATATACACACGAGCCATGGATTGCATGTGCGCATCAAAGTACTCCTTTCAAAGCTCACTCTCATTCTATTTTTTCTCTCTGTTCACTTAAACTGTTGCCATAAAATGTGCGCGCGTGTAAAATGTTTCTACAGCTTTGTCTCTCGTTCGCCGTGTGTTTTTTCCATGGCCAGAATAAATGAAGCGAGAGAATAAAGCGACCTGATGTATATTTTGTATGAAAACGACGTTGTGTATGTCTAAGGTCGTTCAACTGGCTTCACACAGCAGACGCTTTTCTCACTCAAATCAACACCCGTACACCACATACTTCACCCGCTCACAATGTATGTGCATATAGTTCGAATGTCATTATGGATTCGTTCGTTCGCTTGCTCACTCGCTCCTTCTCTCCTGCATTCATGAGTGGAGCAAGAAAATGCATTGAAAATAACCTTTGTGGATAACATGCATGCGAGTTTATGCACAATTTTCCCTGTTTGTTCTATGGCATTGAGCTTTTCCTGCTATTGAAAAGTCTAAATCAATTGCGCTGCTAGGGAATGGAAAAAAAATCACACACAAACATCCACACGCGAGGGAAGTTAAAGAAAATAACGATAAAGAGGAGACATGAAAGAGAAAAAATATCCCGAAGATGTGTTTTTCTACTCTGTTATTTATTTTAAGAAAAAAATCACAGTCAGTTCAATAGACTCCACTTTTCTCACATTTGCCCGTAAAATACTCAATTTTTCTACGCATATTTAGAAATAAATGCTGTTATTACACTCGGTTAATGAGAGAGAATATAAAAATAGGTTTAACGAGACGCATTGCTGGTTTGTAGTCAAGCTTCGATTGTGTGTGGTTTATGAAAAGAGTCATCTAAAATACAAAAAACCCGTGAATAATAAGTGCCAATTATAAAAGCATCTTTAAAAACTTAATTTGCCATTTCGACACGATTTGTAAATGATCCACTGCTCCGCCGTTCGACGAACCGTATCTCAGACGAATGGCAATCGGTCGTCGATCGTATATATGTAGAAAATAAAAGACGTCATCCACTTGATTATTTGCTCTCGCGCTTCGGACAGAGAACAAAGAAATCGTTTTCAATGAGAAAAAAAACCGAATAAATTTAATTTCTGTGCTATGATTTGTCGGAATTATTGCAAACTAATGGCAACACATGAATTCAATTATAACATCATCGAAAACGATGCGGCTGACAAAAATAAACTCATCGACTGAGCAAATGGAGACTATCTTAATGGGCCAATTTTAATTTGAAATCATTTCATTCGGTGAGGAGAGAGCATGAGCAGAATATGAGCCAGCCATCAAATGTTCAATTAACTAAATTTGCACCATACGACCGATTGGCTGGATAGCGAAACAAAAAAGAAACGAATGAAACGATCGAATGAACGAACGGCGAATGAAAAAAAATTCACCCGGAAATTGCTTTGCAAGGCATATGTGAGACGCATATGCGATTTATTTATTCTATTAGCACACATTCGTACTCAGTTCACAGCTGAGACAGATGCATGAACAAAAAGCAACACTCTTATTAATTGTATAGTGGAATATGTATGTTTTTTTTTCTTTCTCGTTTCGCAACATAATAAAACACATCATTCGCACCAGTGCTTCAAGTTATAACTTCAAGTTTTATTTTCTCAAACGCTCAGTTTTTTTTCTGCTTTTTTACTCGAATGCTTTTGTTCCAAATCGGAAGCTGATTTCATTTCAGAACGTTTCATATACGTATATGAAATAAAATCAAGCGAGCAAGAATTAATGTGTCCATGGAGAGAAGGAATTAAAAAAAAACGAATAATTATCGAAGGTTCTTACGTTATGATACAATTTCGTGGTATGTGCGGTAAGAACGTACATGCCTGAACAAAGCAAAGCAAAGCAATTCGGTACTGCGCACATTGTTTTCAAACACTCGACCAAGTTGTGCTATGCTTAGTTCGCCTAACCTGACATTGATTTCATGCGAATTCTCAATGATTTATTCTGTTCAGCTCGACTGAAACGAGTCACACTCCCTTTTGTGTACTAACAATACACACACGATAATTCTATGATTTTGTTTTCTGATCTGAAACCGTTTGCCAACAATGATTTTGAGAGCGAAACTGAAATTCAAACTAGCTAATCGAGAAAGAACAAGAGAGAAGGAGAAAAAAGACAATAGAAACAATGCGATACTAATTTAAAAAAAAAAGCAACACAAACGACTGGTGGTGTTGCGACTTCATTTACGGTAAAATGTGTCAATTTGTTGGATACGATTCGGTTTTTTTTTTCTCTGTCTTACTCCTAGCTCTCTCCTTCTATCGCTCTCTGACACACTCTCTCGGTCACACTCGGCTCTTTCTTTAATTCAGCGCTTTGAAACGCACATATACACACGATTAATTCCAACGGAAATTATGTTTAACAAAGCAATAACAACAGCTATCAATCTAATAATTTATTTGTGTAATATGTGAGTATGTCGCGCGCGCGCGATATGTGTGTTTCGTATAATATCGTGTTTTGTTTTGTTTAAGCATAAACAGCGTTTAGTTTTCTGGTCTCATCGTTTTCTTGCTGCTACACCGCTGCTGCTGCTCCGCTTGTCTAGAAAGTCAACAAGCGTAAATGATTTCATTTCAAAATGCAATTAATATAAATGATCTAGCGTATGAAGAAAATCGAACGCACTTCAATCAATTTGTTAGAGGAAAAGAGCCATTTCCATTTCTCATTTTCTTGAGAAATGGCGATTACATCAATTTGTTGGTTTGCGTTAATAAAATATGAAAACAAATGCATGGTTCATATATTCATTTACACATTTCAATCTTAAGAGCGAAAACAATGCACTTCACATGCACAAAAAACATCTATTTATAGCGTTGTAATTTGATTTTTGTTTCTTCACCCATTCTCATTTTGTTTTCTTCTTTTACAGTGTTCAAAATCTCAAAGAGACAATCGAACGATTGCATGGGATACCGGCCACTAGGCAGGTTCTAATGATCAGCGGGGGCGAAGTATTAAATTCATCGTCGCGTGTGTGCAGCTACTCGTCAGGCACCGATGAAAATCCAATTTATATGTTTAGCATACTATTCGATAGTTCAAAGCTACATCAACCATGGCCGAGCGAGAGTCGTAAGTACCTGTTTGTCATTCCATTTAATTGTGTTGTGTCCGTTTTTTTCCTGCCTCTCTATCCCTCTTTTTGGTGTTTTTTTTTCTCGCTATCTCCCTCTATGGGTGAGTGTATCGACGATACACTGTATCGTATTTCCTTTGTTAATGCGGATTTGAATGTGCTGTGCATTGACGCATATATTTAATGTAATAAAATATGTCGACTTAATTGATTTGCTTTTAAAATAATCCCCAAATTGGGATCAGCTTAACGTCGGTTTATTTATCAATGTTTTTTTTTTTGTGTTTGTCTCTACTAGAATAATTATCGGTGCGTAGTGAGTTCAAAAACATTACTTCAAAATGCAATTAAGATAATTTGCGTCATATTTCCTCGTCCGATTAATCAAACCCCAATTAACTACGTCTTACAGAAAAAATTTCGACCAAGATTTGGCATTATCAAGAACCAAACTTTTTTTTTTCGCTTGTGATTGCCCTTTATCATCACCTGATGATTCGAAAAAAGTCAAGCTTCATTCAAATAAAATGAAAGAAACTCGAAATGAACGAATGAAAAATTCGAAATCATAAAAAAAAAACAATTCAAGAATGGAGGGCTCATCGCATGAATCAAAATAATTTTTGATGAAAAAAAAATGGACGTTTTCGTTGACATTTTGTTTTGTCGCATCAATCAAACACATTCGTTTTTTGTCATTCGTGGAAAAAGAAGAAGTTGTTTTGTGTCCGTGTGTTTTGTTGTGTCTTATTTGTAAAAGTTTCATGAACTTTTCCATGCGATATTAATTGTCTACTTTCTCGTAGCAGCGTGATAGAAACACAAATGGTGTTGGCATAAGATAGAGCTGCGCCACAGTATATTTGCATTGCAAAATACCCATAATCGTTGTTTTATTTTGTTGCTGTTTCAAGATCACGCCAAATGTAAATTAAGCGCGATATCAAAAAAAGCAAACAAAACACAAAAAAAGCGCACGTTGACAATAACGACAAAGGAGGGCGAGAGAAAAAAAAAGGTAATCGGCTCAGCTATATCAAATATACAAACCCGTAGAGAGCGAGATAATTCTTCGAATCGAAGCATAGAACCATCACCATAAATGTCATATCATTGTTCCCATTGCTAATTTAAATTTAATACTGCTTGTATTGGACGGTTGACGATACCATCAAATCTCGTTCTTTTTGCCCTATTTTTCGATGCTGTTGTTTTTTGTTCCTCTTCTTCATCAATTTGGTGGAAAAAAGAATGTTTACCAAGAATTAATTTACACCAGCGACGTGAACAGATGATCAAATAGCATGGCAATTCGTGATATTCTTTTCAATTGTGTTGTTTACGAACGATTTTTTTATGAAAAACAGTGGACAATTCACATTCCGCTCTCTTCAATTCTTGTTTCGTGCGACAAATAAACAATCATTGTTCTATACATATGTTATGCATATTATATAGCGCCCTGTTTACCACCTTCGATATCGGAGGAAAATTTGAGTGTACCGACAGATGAACACACCATCGAAGCCAGTTCGTAAACAACATTTCACCCGAGAATCGATATTTACATTGTGTATATAAATGCATGTTTTTAAATTGACACAAACATAGCTGTAATGGCACGACATCGTCAACGAGGACGACAGTGACGATGACGACGACGACAATCGACCGGTATATTCTAATAATAATATAAGCCATCTGTCTAGAGTTAGGCTTCGACAACGACGAAAAAAGAGATATAATGGATATGCACAGTTAAGTGGATACATAAATTGAAATTCGATAAATAGACTCGTTTGAAACGAAACACTTGCCTCATCGACAACCGAACGATAAACTGGCTTATACGCTCTCTTTCTCTACTTGATCCCAACGTCATACGAAATATCCATTTTCTTCTATTTTTTGCTTTGCTTCTTGCCCAATCGACAATTAGATCGATTCCGATTTCCTTAGAACGCAACCATGCAATTTCCTCGCATTACAACAGCTAATTTTTCCTCTCTCCCTCTCTCGTCAGGCATTCGTTCATATGACTGCACAGATTTATGCATCTAATGACCATACTTATTGCCCTACCTATAAATTAACACAAATATACATTCATCGATTAATTGTCCAATTAAAATTACTTTGTGCACTAGAAATGTGGAATGAAAAACATTGTTGAATTTAATTAGCCACACAGCGACTATTTATTACACATATTGTTCACCATTTTACTTCATCTTCTCCCTCTCTCTCTCTCTCTCTCTCTCTCGCTATCTTTTTCAGACATTCACTACGAGGATGAGGTGAACCGTTGCTTAGTGATGCCAGCCGAATATAACACCGTTGTGATTCGAGCGAAATTAGCTCAAAAAATGTGCGAAAGTGCCACCAAAGAGATAAAAAAGTGTGAAAAATTGGTATTTGAACAGCATTTGCAGCAACAAGGTTGGGCAGCTGTTATGGCCAATTTAGAGGATTTAACATGTGAATTTAAGCAACGTAGCGTAGTTATTTTAAACACAATTAATGACTATCTGGAAAAGCGGCCCAAATATTTGGAGTATTTGAATTTATTTCCGGAGGATCTACAGAAATTGTCAACGGTGCCGATACTCAGTGAATTATTGCCAAGTGCACAGCACGATTTTCATGGTTTCGACGAATACTTTCATGACAACGTTTCGTACACGGGTTCAACGAGTGCCGACAGCGGAACGAGTGTCGGTGGCAGCAGTAACAATAGTCGAAATCGTGAATCACTCAGCGGATGTGATAGTGGTGGTGTTGTTGGCGATTCATCTAGTCAAACACAAGGGCAATTGGATACAGTAATTCCGACGAATGCGACGAATACGGTGACGATGACGACGACGACGACGACGAACAAAACACAAGACAAATCATCCGAATCACAGACCAACGAACCACAAAAAACCCGCTCGCTTACCCTCTTGCAGTGGATTTCGTCGAAGGAAAACCACAAATCACTCGACGAGATGGCAAAGCATTGCTCGAAAGTTTTATCGAAATTCGACGATAGCTCCATTCAAAAGGTCAAGGACGCCATCAAACGTACCATCGACATTGCCGAACAGGTATGTTTCGCGTGTAACTAATTGACTTTGCTACTTCTAATTAATTTTTCAACCAATTTTTCACATTTATTAATATTTATTTTGGCTGCTTTTTTTTCTCTCTCGGTAGGAAAGCGTACGTGAAGTTGGTGGCCTAACACAACGACTCGAACTACTCGACTCAACCATGTGCGAGGCCAAGAAATTGGTACAGGATCAAAAAGAGCTGTCGACTGCATTTCAACAGAATCAGACACGTGCCAGTCAGTTGAGTGATGCATCAATCCTCCCCGATCTCTGCTTATCTCATTCCAATCAAATGAATGTTATGCTCCAAAATCACAATAAATTGCTCGACTTCGAAAAACGTATCATGAAGGCGAAAGAAGAGCTGGGCGAAAATCTCAATAAACGCTTGGACTATGTGGCTCGCATTGAGAATTCAATCAGTGACTTAGATAGCAATCTTTTACTGCATCATGAAAATTTCCGACGCTTGAAACATCACATGGTGATTATTGAACAAATTCACGAAGCACCAAATACCTATGTTACGGCCGTTGCCGAAGTCGTTCGACGCAAACTGTTCTCGAATGCAATGCTCAAGGTGAGTTTGTGGGAACACAAATGGATTTGTTTGAATAAATTTTTATCTTTTTTTATCGTTCGAAAACCGATCATTTCCATTCATTCGATCAGTTCATTTAAGATTGAGTTCTTTGAGTTCATTTGCTGAAATGGAGATATTCGAATGACGTGAATATTCGAGTATTTATATTCGAGTAATGAAGGTTTATTAAGAACGATTTTTTTTTAAATCAAAGTCCATTTTGATAAATCTTTTGATTTGATCCTAACTTTCTCTTTGCTTCAATTAATTTTCAGTGGGCAACGGAACTGTCTTCGAATATGGTGAACATTCACGGTGAAGAGCGGTCACGTCGAGAGGACTTTGAAAACACATTCGAGCACCATTTTCTAAATGGACTATTCTCTGGTCTCGACGATGAACCACCGGCGTTTGCTACACAAGCACCAGCCATCTTTGACAATCGGTTACCTAATTTGACCAAAGCAGGTAAAGCCAAATTGTTGTGAATGCAATGACGTCTTTATGTAAATTGAAAATAAATTTTTTTTGAGCTATTGATCAATCCATTTATCATATATTTATGAATAAATAATTTTCAAATGAATGAAGGCGTTATTATCAAACCATCCACACAAAAAATACATAATTCTATATTACACAAAAATAATTGTTCAAGATTAATCAAAACATAATAAAATCAAATCAAAATGACGTCTCATTTTTTACAGACTTACAATTGCTGGTGGAAGCCATTCCGGAAATAGCTTCGAAGATTGAGATACCCGATTTGAAGTTTGTGCTGGAATTCTTTGCCATGCAATACGGAAGCAAAGATTCATCAACCGATAAGAAGAGTTGCGAGGAAGTCAGATTAATGGCAAACAAGCTGCTGGACATTCGAGCATTCAAAGAGTAAGCAGAAATTAATATTCCATACATCTAATGGCATTTCAACCGTTTTCTTATTTTTTATACCATTTTTTATCTTTATTGAATCATTTCAGTGGTTGTGAATCCGAAACCGATACGGAGGAGTTTGAGAAAGTTGGCCAGAGCCCGGTCGATCGCCGAAAATTGGCTGATGGCCGAAGTGAAACAGTTGCACCGAAGCCCAAATCGGCCGAAATTGCCACATCAACACATCGTGTTGAGACAGTATCAACGGAAACATTGACAGAGGTTGGTTTCGAATCAAATACCGAGAATCGCTTTCCTTAGAGTAAATTTAACTAATAATCTGTTTTCAACTCCAAATTAGGAAAATGCTGGAACAGCTCAGCTTGAAATCGAGCGTCTAAAGTCGCTTCTCGTCGAAATGGCACGTGTGTCACGCAGTTCAGTTGAAATGCTCCGAAATCAACTGCTCGCAGTCAAAGACGGCCTAAACTGTGATAAAAAAGATCTTGCTGTTGAATTCCAGAAGATCGAAACAATGTTCACCAATCTGAAGGAACAAACAGAAACAAATGAACGTGAGATCATAAATCGTCTGACTGTTGATCATGAGTTGGAATTGACGGACGTGCGCAAATTGTTGACAATGAAAACCGATGAGGTGGCCGAATTGAAGGCAGAAAATGCAAAACTTTTTGAAAAGTTGGCAAACAGTGAGCTGGAAACGGAAACCACAAAAACACGTAGCTCGAGCGAAATAGATGGTCTTAAGGCGCGCATCGCACAACTCGAAGAGCAGGCCAAGAATCACGAAACTGATAAAACAAAGGCTGTGAATGAAATAAAAGATAGACTGATTCGTGAACACAAAACCGAAATTGAGTCGTTGCGATGCCGCTACAAATTGATGAAGAATGTGGATCGAACACCGTCGGACACCAGCCTTGAACGCATCGAACGTCCGGACATTCAAGCCAGCTCACCGACATCCAGCCAGAGCTTGTATCGTCGCATTCTCGACGAAAAGGAACGACAACTCGATGCATCCAATTCGCAATTGGAAGTTTTGACCAAGGAAAATGACCAATTGAAGCGCACCATTCAAAATCTGACCGAAGGCGAATCACACGAGAGCGTGGATCAGATGAAAGTGCAAATTGAAGCATTGCAAAAGGAAAAATATAAATTGCGTCAGAAATTGCAACATGAACGATCCAGAAAAATTGACTTGGTCACAGCTGGAACGTAAGTTTTGGTCGAATTTTGAATTTACAAATGGATTTGCAATGAATTTCGAATTTTGAAATTAATTTTAATGATATTTTCCCTTAGATCGACAAGCGATCCAGCTTCATCATCTCTATCGAAATCCATGTATCGCGCTCGTTTATGCACAAAGAACTGCGTTTCAGTTGGCACATGTGAAAACGGTGAAACTGTTCTGATCGTTTTTAACGAAGCACTGTCTCGATTCATCATTGTACAGGTGAGTTTTGGAATCTACTTTGGATGCATTTCGACTTTTCCATTTAAAATCAATTTAAAATGTTGAAATGTCCCAATTTTGAAATTAAAAATGAATTTTATAATGGAATAAAATCACTAATGGATCTTTTTTTTTTTGCATAGGATTCAACGTACATTCACTTTCTAGAGGAGGATAGCCACACACTTTTCAATTTGCCCGTGCCGACCAGAAGCGAGGAAAAGTTTGAGAACACTCAAAAGGCACCATACTATCTGGGTGTTGTCACTGACAAGCAGTACTGTTTGGTGAAACGTGAGGGAACTCGCTATCGTGTTCCAGTTGGCACTCGATTCTACCGTGTCAAAGTGAAACCAATGCTGCCAAACAGTCGAACCAGTTCGATCTCGGAGAGTGAACAAGGCAACGTTCCATGCACACCGGGTGGCCGCAAAATTTCAGTGTCTGAAACCACACCAAATCCAATCAGTTCACAAGATGTTGCCTCATCCACATCAAAATCTAGCACTGAGGGTAAGTCTGTAGGATTTTTCAAAATTTGAAACGATTTTCTTGACATTCCAATCGATTTTCTTGACATTCCAATCGATTTTCTTGAAAAGATTTTCCATTTCAGAACATTTTCTAATCAAATTCCGGTTTTCTCTTTTTTTAGCACGTCGCGCTACATTATCAGTGAGTCGTTCGTTGAGCGCCCAGTTTACCGATTCATTCGCTCAAACCGAAACGATCGATCGTGCTCCTGGCGAGTCGTCCACCGATATCCCAAAGATCGTGGAAAAAGATATGGTTGACTCGGGTGTTGTGGACAAAAGTGAAGATAAAAGTGAACGCATCAGCCCATCCGGCTCTGTGTCAACATCATTTGTTGGACGTTTACGCTTCGCAAGCGTTGGTGAAGATGAAGCAATCATCGTTGACAATGTACCATCATCACAAGAGGTATTTGTCACATAAAACCACATGTCGATCGGTGTTTGTTTCTTGTTTTGATCTGCCAAGTAAAACGTAATGCGTATTGTGAAAGTGCTTAGCTGTATCCATAGCTGTGTTTGTTGTTTTTATATCACATCTTTCTATTACTTGTTCCTTTATCCACATACACACACATACCCAGCTAAATGTTTAAATTGCTGTTGGTTAAATCCATACAATGTTTCTTTTCCCGACTTGCTTGTTGTTTGTCCTCACAAGATCATGCATACACCTGAATAGAAAATTTGAAAAAAAAAAACTCTACTTAACTCTAAAATAACGAATCGAAACAATAAGAAAATCAAAAAATAAAACAAAAAAACTCAATAAAAACCCACATCCATCAAATTGTAGGAAACGGCATCGAACATGAACATGATTGAAATAACGGCTGAATTCGGTGCGGACACTGATCAAGAAGAATCCGACGAGTATCGTTCACTTGATGCAAAAAGCGATGAGGTTGAACCGGTTAGTTAGTTAAAGTTTCTTATCACGATTGCATCGTATCTGTCGACGTCCTGGTTTTTGCGCAAATGACCGAACACTATTTTGTGTAACAAACCAGCCGCGTTCACGAAAGTATGAAAACAAAAATAAAACTGGACTGAATTACACACATACAAAATCCAAAAAAAACGAACGATCCGAAATGGCAGATGAATTTAATGATGTAAAGATAATTTTGAATCTAAAAACAAAAGAAAAGGATTTCATTCCAGATCGCATAGTATTAAGAATTTATTATTTAAACAATTAGCAACAAAACAAAACAAAACAAAAAAAAAACGTGATGAAAAAAACAATGAAAATCAAAAGAGAAAAAAATAACACTTCAAGTTGATTGACGCTAAGTTGAATCTTTAAGATTGATCTTAAACTATTTGCAGATGTAGGTATTCAATTTAATAGACTATCAAAAAAAAAAAATCAGAGAAAAAAATGAATGAATTTGTATCTCCATTTAGTTACAATCGCTTACATTTACTTGTCAATATATCTGTATTTGTAATTTTTTTTATAATTATTTCTTCACACAAACGAATATTTAAGAAATTCGCAGGTTAGGCGAATAGTCTCTCATTAGATTTGAACCAATGAAAATCTGGATTTTTTTTGTTGACAAATCAAATAAATTCGATTCAATAAAATGATAGAAAAAAAAAAAAAATTAAAAAAAAAACAGCAACAATAACAACAGACTTATTTCAATCAGTAGTTTTTTGGCAATCTTCTGTTTTTCCCCCACTACAATCATATTTCATTACAGGTAATAGAAAAATGACTACATACACAAATGACCATCTTTTAAAATGAACACAAAAATGACCACCTTTCACAAATGACCACTCACACAATCATAACAAAATGACATCCTCCATCTTTCCATTCAGTGTGAATCTATTTGCATCCTTGGTTTTTCTTATACCAAATGTCGCATGCTTTTTTCTAGGCTATCTTTCTAAACCTTAACACTTCTAATAAATTACTTAGAATGTTTCACCTAAATTATACTTTACACTTGTGTCGTGTAGTATCTCGTGTTTTATGTACACCAATTTGAAGAAAACCAATCCCTTTTTTGTTTATTTTCGTGGTTTATTTTCTCATTTTTTTATGTTTGGTATTTTGTGGTTTCTTTTAGTTGTTATTGGGCGTATAAAAAAATCCACCTATTCATCTCTTTTGGTCCATCTTGAACTTCAATGAAATTCCTCAAAATTTTATTTTGAAAAACGCTAAAAATGTAGAAAAAAGTGTTTCACCAAGGAAAAAAACACTTGAAAATTGAAAAAGAAAAAAAAAGTATTAGAAAACCAAACGCATGTGTTCTGCTATTCACAGAATTGGGCCGTCGATCCGGGCACCGGCGGTAGCATTGGATTCTTTACACTCATTGAACCACTCATAACACCGTTGCAAAGTTTTTTGGAAAAATAGGTACAATGCGTTGCACCTAGTCGAATTGCGATCCCAACAATTGTGAGTGTCGTCACTTCAGCGCAACAACAATTCATCACAAACTGTAGAGGTAGACATTTCTTTCAGATAAAAAATTCAAACCGAAATAAAACACGCTTCGTCAAATAAAATCCATAATATTGGTGTATTTGGATGTAGTGTAGTATGCAAACGAAATTATTCTCTATCGAACTCAACAGTATCATATAGTATTTTAGGTGTCTTTGAACAAAAAAAGCGGATCTATTATTTGGCACTTTTGCACCGTTAACACACATATTGTTCTCGTGAATTCGGTTGAAAACACCGGTGTTAAATTTTATTAGTCATTTTGTATGCAATTCAAATAAAAGCACCCATTAACTTTTCATCTCGGTTTGCTTTATTGCTTTTTTTATTATTATTTTTACGCTTCTTTTTCGATTTTAAGCCAACTAAATTGCTCCACACTCAAAACTGCCTGTTTCAAAAACATAAAATCCTTTGCTCCGATGAGGGGTGAGTTTGCGGAACATTTACTTCTATTTTGGGCAATTTCATTTTTAGTTCGTCTTGAAATTGTGTGTGTGTAAGTTTTTTTATCTCGATTTTTTTCCCTCTGTAAATAGATTTTAAATGATTTTTTCAAATTTTAAGCATAAATATTGCTTTCATAGCAACAAATGTGTAAAATGTTTTCACAATTTTCACATGCATATAGGTTGGAATTGTGAAAAATAGTTACGTTGAAATAATAACAAAATTAAAAATGATGAGTAGATTTATGTGAAATTCATTACGATACAGTTGATGAATATTATTCATTGAATACACACTCATTCAGTAAATGATAAACTTTTGATATGTAAACGAAAACAGAAAAATCAAAGAGAATGTGATTTGGTTTCTCGTTTGTTATTTGATTTCGGAATGAATCTGATACTTTCCTTCGAACCAACACTGAATATGAACTAAAGAGCTACAAAATTATTTATACTTTACATTTTTTTACTATACATACTATATTCGATACTGATTTGCGGATCAAACTAAGAACGAAAATTAAAAAAAAAAAAGAATCTATGATAAGAACTAAAACTGAATGATCACAAAATCCGGAGGATTTTTGAATAAATTCATTCATGCTCTATTATTGTTTTGGGCTCAAACCGAATAAAATGGCAAGTAATGATTTTCATCTAAAATTGATCAAATTTTTCTCAACCAATGAAAGAAGAGATTTTCTCAATAAATAATGAATACCGTAGCCACAAATAGTGATTAAGTCATCGTGTTTAAGCCGCTTATTTTTGACATGTAAGACAACCGAACGAAAAAATCCTTTCTTATTTCAGTTAGATAGCTACTAAGTTCAACGCAATCATTTACGCTAAAAAAAGACAACAAAAATTATTCATTTTCAAATTGTCACTAGAATTTCCGAATTTTCTTACCTAAACAAAACAAAAACAATGATAAATTAAAAATAAAATGAAAAATAAAATGAAAACAAACAAAAATCGAAATAAAAAGTGATTGCAAACATAAAAAAGTAACAATAGATTTAATTAAGCCTAACAAAGTTCCCCTGTAATTCAAACATATGAACATATTTACTACGCTAGAATTATGAAAAATGATTTTTAAGGTTGAAAACAGTGTAAAAACTCAATAAAATATCAGAAAATCATGTAAAATAAAGAAATACAATTATCAATTGCACAAATTTGTGTTTTATTCTTTTCCCGTACAAGAAAATTCCTTTCTTTTCTGGAAAAATTAAAAAAATTGATTAGCTTTTCCTTCCATTCCGTTCCCTACCCACGGAAAAAATTGAATTTTTGGAGACAAATGAGAGACAATACATTACATAACTAATTTGATGTTCCTGCCGTGATATTTTTGGACGTTGGATTTTCAGAGTGACACGACACATATCGTTCGACGAGACGACTTGGTTGTTGTTCATTGTGAGGATATTGGATTTTCACTTGGTACGAAAATAAAATGCGGCTTGAAAAATCCGTTTGACTGAATTATTACCATTTTGGAAGTGAATCAAGCGCGCTGTTGATGTTAAATGCATTAATCTAAATCGGTGTTGGCTTTCGAAGCTGTTGTAATTTAGTCCATCTCTGTCTCTCACCCACTGTCATCAGTCGACAGTTGTCTTTGCCGCTTTGAGTCATCATCGTAAACATATTCTAATTTTGTTCCAAGTTTTAAATGAAGCTCTGAAATTAATATCATTTTCGTCTGTCTACGAGCATGAATTTCCATTCGGCTTTTGAGTTACTGTTACATCGGTGCACGGCACAGGCGATACACTAGAAATGCCTTGGTTCATCAATAATTTTCAGCACTAGTCACATTCGGTTAACATAGTTTTCGATGTCAATTTCGGAATTTCGTGCAGTCGAAATATTGCTCTCTCTCTCTCTGTCTCTCTCTCTCGCTTACAAAGCCTCTGATAGATTTATCTCACCGGAGCAGCGAAAAAAATTGGAGACATTTTACGATTCGACTCTCTAATTTTGTGTTTTTTTTCTTATGGTTACGGCTGCTTTTTCAACTTCTCTCTCTCTCGATCTTCAATCGAAATAAGAGAAGAAAAAAATACTCAACTTATAAATAGACAAGAGCGCACAGCCCGATATATAGCTTGCGCAGCATACCGCACATTAAATCATCAAATTTTGTAATATATGAACACAAAATAGATACCTAAATGATTGCAGCAAAAGTGAGCTGGCAAACACACTTAAACGATGCAATCTATTTCATTCGAGAGAGAGAGAGAGAGAGAGATAAAGGCCCCATTCTGATGAAAACGAAGAGCATTCGGAACCGAAAAAGCCGAAGCCGAGAAATTGATGTGTGTTTGTAAAGGGAAACAAAAAAAAAAACATGCACACGGAAAACTAGCAGTTTTCATTGAATTGAAGCGGAACGATCATTGGAAGTGTCAGAGAGAGAGAAAGAGAGAGAGAGAGAGTGAGAGGAGCTCGGCTTAGACGTCGAACACTCAGAAATGTTGTATAAATTTAGCTATTTGCCAAACTCAAATGATGAGAGAGCATCGCCACGCATTTCGGACTACTGAGCTGAGAGCTGCAAGAGTCGAGGCATACAGGAGATGAGATTTCAGTCGTAGACCCACTGGTAGAAAAACAGATTAAAGTTCAATAGCCCTGAATGTATTTTCATAGCATTAGCGGTAAATATGTGAAGAGGGAAAAAACCTAACACGGCACATACATTTTCTCTCTCACGCGCGGATCGCTCACAAATGGAAAATATTGTCGAGCTGATGACGAGAGAGTGTGTGAGCGGAGAGCGTGTTTCACTCAAAATTTGGCTCATGTCGAACGATTGAATAGAAAACATACCCAACCAATGTAATAGAGTGCATGACGAAAAAAACAAACAATATTGTAGGAGCTGAAATGAGGCGAAATGAAGAGCAAAAAACGACCAGAACGAAGAAAAAAAAAACAAAACGGAATTTCGTAACCATCGAATGGCCAAACGAAAATATCGTGCACCGGCCAAAAGGAAAATTGAGACCATCACTCTCACATAAGAACGAAGGGGGAGAGAGCGAGGGAGAGCAAGCACAGTGTGTGTTGGTGTTTCAATGCATAAGCGACCGATTGTTGTTGAACTGTTCTGTTTACGAATCCATTTGTTAATTGCGTATAAAATTAGAAATGGATGCCATTCGCTTGACCAGACCAAATGCATAAATACACACTTATGTATGCAACATTCGACGATGGTTAGTATTATTATTAAAACCATTCAAGAGAGACGGAGAGAGAGAGAGAGAGAAAATATTCGGCATTGGATTCTGTTGTTTTCTTTTCATTTCTGTTGGGTTTGCTGAGCTGAATTGTTCCTTTCGAGAAGAAGAGAAAAAAGATGATTACGCAATTGTACAGCGCCAAAAAGCATTAAGCATAATACTATAAATGAGCGGCGCGCATATATAGCACACGACATGCCCACGACAAACAGGAAAAAATAGATCAAAAACTTGTTCGAAATTTTAAGATGTCAAAAAAATGTTTTTGTCAAGGAATTTCAGCAATTCTCTTCGTCTTTTTTCTCTGGTGGGCACGTAATTACAAGTCTTCCTTTATTTCTTATTTCGAGAAAAGAAAAGAGAACAGAAGAAACAATTTGTTGTTTGATGTGATGCAATTCAAGGATGATTCGGTGATTTTTCTGTTTTCAGCATTATTCGAACAACTAAAATTGGCAATGGCAACATATTTTTGGTGCGAGTTGTTTTTTTTTCTTTCTTATCCTGGTTTGGTTGAGCTGTTATTTTGAAAAGCAGCTAGTAAAAATATATACCTGATGACCTCCTCTTCAAAATGTCGCTTGAATGATGAGTGAAATGTTTTCTGCGCCGTCGTCTTGTATGGGACAAAATGTCTTCGTATGGGATGAAATGTTGGGAAAAATAGAATCGACATCAGCATCAAGAAGAAAAGTGAAAAAGATAACATGTGAACCGTGTACGCTGTTCATATCCTGGTACGGTTTTCTTGAGAACTAGAAACGAAAGAAAGGAAAAAAAACAGCCGAAGAATAAAAAGAACTAACCAAATACACATTGTAGACATAAAAAGGCCAAACGAGTGCACATGGAATATGGATGGAACACATGTTAGCCGCTGCTACTTTATGGTAAAATTTATGAACGATCACTGAACAACAACAACAACAACAACGAAGAAAAAAACGCACACACACACTTTGGGTAAATTGAGCCGCATAGAGTTATGAGCTTGCTTTGCTTTCGCCTTCCATTTTTTCGGCTGTCAGATCGACACGTTTAGTTTTTTTTCTTCGTTTTCTTCGAGTTGATGCGCCGCTATCGTTGCCTTCGCTGCCATTCAATTCCACAGATAGAAATCTATAAATGAACTACCGTTTCCAACATAATTACCGGCCATAAATAAAACAATAAAAATGAAACACACCAAAACGAAATGGTGTTCTGCTTGCGTAACCCAAATAATGCCGTTGCGTTTGCTTTCTAATAAAGATCCTCCGAATTTTCCACCGCCGCCGTCACTGCTGACGAAACGTGCTCTCTATCGCTCCCGTCAATGACACATGAAAAATTGATTTTCATTCATTTAGGTAATACGATCGCATGAGTAACAAAATCGAATCGAAGGAAGTGTTAGAAGTAGAAAAATGAACGAAATTAAGGAATGAAAGAAAAAAAAACTGTTGATGTGCGGAGAAGAACATCATTTCGACGGATTGAAACATTAGATAAATAACGTTCATTCGTGGAGTAAATGTGTGAACACAGCGCAGCTGAAATCGAATACTCAAGCACATGATTCATTGAAATGAGCTAGTTTTTCTTTCTTAATCATTTCATTGCGTCAATCGCACGATTTTTTTTCTACTTCGACGAGGGTAATTTTCATTGAAATCTCCCACTTTGCATGCTCAGATCATTTGAAACGTACGATCCATAGTCGATACCAACGCGCATAAATTCTCATACATAAACGGCCAATCCCTTAGAGTTTACAGAATACTGTATGTTGTTCCATATTGCGGAATTTTTTCGCCTTGTGACCCCTTCAAATCAAGAGGTGCAGATGCTGATCGTTTCTTCTTTCAGTTGTTGTTCATTTTCGATTGAATAGCCATGTCATTCGTCATCTAAATTTGTAATCGAAATGGCATGCGCTGATCGTCGTCGCATCGCCCGTCTACACCATTCGATTCCCGTCCAAATATCTCATTTAGATCGCTACATTTCGTTCGGCTTCTTAACAATTCGGCTCAGTTCAGCCTCCGTTCGGAGAGTGATAGAAAGAGAACGAGACACACACGATTGTACCGAAAGCAGTGCGCATGGGAATAACATATCCCCAACGAACACATTGACACATGCAAATTCAGGAACACAACGACGCAGACGCTCTTCTCTATTTATATTCTCGCTTCGAATCATAAGCAGTTCGTTTTTTTCTGACTCAATGCTCTGTTTTTGTCGCATTCGCGTTGGTTTTGCCGTTTTTTCTTCTCTCTCTCTCTCTCTCTCTCTTGCTCTCAGCGCTAGCTCCTTTGGCATACCAAAGCATATTTCAACACATGCTCAGACATGTTGATGATGAGGCCGTTTGGGTTCTATCGTACGCATCCACACTTTTGAGCAAAATCAAGACGATCGCCAGAAAATTTAGTTCAGTCTTGTTCGTAGTGTCTTCGGTGCAACACGGTTAAGAGTTGAAAATTTTTCTCCCTCTTCAAAATAAAAATCACACACTTTTTTTTTCTCTACAACTCCAAAGTCTGATCAATATTTTTTTTTCTCTTCAAATTTCTCAGTTTTTTTTAAATAAATCGACGTTTGCATTGGAATTCGAACAGAAAATTTGAGGGTAAAGTCAATTTCAAATCGATATTGAGGGTAAAACGATTGTGAATTCAAGCGAAACTTGTGCAAATTCTCAAGGAAAAGTATTTTTTTTTCTTTTTTTTTTTTCTATCTCAGTATTGTAGTGCTTGTGTTTGCTTGATTTTCAATACTTGAAAATGCAGGAAATTTGCCTTGAAAATTGTTACATTTTCCAAGTTATATCATCTTTTATTTTTCGATATTGTAAGATCGCAGTTGGCCGAGTTTCGAACCAGATTCACTTTCATTTTTGAACGACTGCAAAATGTGTGCTTCCTACGCACGAAACGAACAAATATTTTCAAGTCACATCCTACATAAATAATCACAAACAAACTAATAGCATCGTATTTGCGAGGTGACAAAAATAAACATTTGCATCCTTTTTCAAATGGTGAAAAAAAAGAATCGAAATTGTCGAAGGAGACAGAAAAAAAGGGAGAAAGTTTAGAAAAATATAGCCTAAAGAGTTTTGAAAGGATCATTCACGTAATAAAAGCTTGAAATAATACAAAAAGTGATAAAATAACCGAAAATTTGTCCGAGATGAAAAATGGAAGAAAATCAATTTGCCAAAAAGTCGAGTAGAAAAGATCAACAACTTGAGAAGAAAAAAAAACAAAAAAAAAACAAAAAAAAAAGTCGTAGCAAACGAAGGAAAAAGAACATAGCGAAGATACTCAGTAGCAAGTGAGTCAAATATAGCCGATAGCAAAAATTTGGGCGAAAATAAGGCGGATCGAAAGAGAGCGGTAGAGCGATGAGGGCGATCGCCATTCCTATGTAAGAATCGTGTGTTCGTTTTTTTTTCACGAAGCTCTCGAAAATAGATGAAAATAGCATCTAGTTGCGGCTGCGACGAGAGTTTTTCTATTTTCCATTTTATTTGTTCGCTATAAAAATATAACCCGCTTGCCCAAGTACGTGCATACATCCACACGCACACACTGCCGTCGATATTGTTTCGCGTGTGTTGTGTCGTATTCATAGTCATCGTCGTTGTCGGCCATCTCATCACACCATCAATGATAAAAATAGCTCACGAAAGTTCCATTCTTCCTTGCATTCGATAGTATTACAATTATGCCGTATGGAATGTAAAGAAGTATGGAGCGATCGGGCTTATGCAACCGTTGATTTCTCCTTTCCGCATCGAAGACAACCCGATTTTTTTTTTCTCTTCATCAAAACACGTAGGGGCAAGTCGTCATTAGCCGTTCCGGAGCTATTTTTATTTTATTTAGTTTTTTTTTTCACCACGTAGCAAAAACAACAATTGCACAATAATATTTTTCAGGATTTTTAATTTAAATATGTGTGTGAGAGAGAAATATTTATTTCTTCATTTAAAAAAAAAACCGCGTTCGCGTGGGTTTGAAATAGCGCATAGTGTGTTTTTCACAACGTTCCAACGGTAATTTAACGGTCATTGCATTTTGAGGGCATATTTTCGTTTTCGACAGTTTAGTTTTATTTTCTCTTCTGTTTTTGAATTTTTTAAAGCGATTTTTTTTATAGATGCGTACGAGGTTGGCAATCTTGCAACTTTGCAAAGAATCTTGAAAAAGTGCTCTTCGGACGAAATTCGCAGTGTGTTGAATGATGAAAGCAAACGAACGAAAAGAAAAATGATTCATGCTGATGTGTGACGATGCTGGTTGGCGTTGAGTGAAACGACTCTGTTGAAAAATTTGAAACATTTTTTTCTTCGCTCAAAACGGAGTTCAACAATCGCATTATGTGCGACAATAGGAAGCGATTAGAATATTACCAACGAAGGATATGAATGTGCCCAAAAATGAATGTGAAGTTGTTTTGCAACAGCAGCAGCAGCAGCCTCATCATTTCAACACATCTGGCCACCACGTGACCAGCTATTGCCTTGCATTGGTTTCTAGTCGGCAAATGTGCTCTTCACTTGCAGCGTCTCAACTGAAATATGTGCATCTTTCGCCGCACGAAGGAGCCTCACTCATTTTTACATAACAAAAAAGGAAAAAAAAATTATTCAAAAGCGAAACAAAAGGACAATAAAATATATAAATCTACCAAATGTGTATTTTTCTGATTTTTTTCTTCTGTGTCTGTCTCGTATTGTTTTGTACACATTACATGAAATATGCAAGTTCTGGCCTTTTCAACTCGATTATAAACATGGTATATAATTTGAAATGAACGTTGCATGCTGATTGTAAGTCAAACATATGAGCCGATGTAAGTATTTCATGTAATATTGGCCTTCAAAACGGAGTAATAAAATGTAAATTCGTTCCGTTACCAATATGGAAGGACACTTTAATATGACGTACATTTTTTCAAAGTATTTTTAAAGTTTCACACCATGAAAGCTGACTCATGGTCTTCGGCTAATGTGCTTTCAAGTTACACACAGCAAAAGCATTAACGCGGACCATTCGAAATAGAGCTGTTTTGACAATAATCTATCGTGGTTTTCGTAGAAAAAAATGTATTTTTTTCCAAAGACACAAAAAACAAAACCCAAAAATATAATCCAATAATTTTGAACGCCTTTTTTCTTAACCCTTTAATTTTTGTATTCCTTTCGAATAAAAAACATAAACAACCCAAATAAATTCCACAAAAAAGTCCAGAACTCATCTCTATTTCAAATTCACTGGTTCAACGTGAAGTTGTTCACAAGTGCGCCACTGTGTTGCAGCAGACAGCGATGCTGTGAGTGCTCTGTGTCGGCAACTTCAACGCAATGTCAGCAGCTGACAGCAATCAGTTTTGTTATTATTATTGCTGTGCATGATTGGTCCGTACACAAACGAAATTATCGATTTATTATTGTGTGTTTCATTTGGTGCGTGCATAGCTCCATCGTTTTGCTGTTCGTCATTTCGCAAGCCATCCGCAAAACAAAAACAACGATAATCGCATTCATTTTCGTTAATTTATTCGTTTTCGTGTGAAATTGAAAGTTTAAATCACAAATAGAGCAATAATTTTTATGGTATACAAGAGAAAAAGAATATATCTGTGTTGTGTGCTGCATTCATTGGCCCAGGACTTCTGTGGAACTAATCAATAATCGGAAATTGGATTAAATCGGTGAATAGTGCGGAAGAGATAAATTGTTTTCCACTCAATTTGAGAGAATAATAGAATTTTAACGAGGCAGCCGGATTGGTTTGGGGTAGAAAAAAAAGTGGACTATCGACCGCAATCAACAAGGTAAGTGTGATGTGTTTCGCAGAAGAAAAAATTACAAGAACAAATAAACACTGTCAAAATGAAACAACAACAAATCGCAATCAAATTCAAGTGTTGTGTGAAAAATGACGGAGAAAACAATGGATTGGATTATAAAAATGGTGTATTCCATCATCTTTGCAATTTCATAACATTTTATAATCAATCTGCATGAGAGAAATGCACTATCAGCGCTTCCAACCATAATGCTGCTAGAGCGATTTGCCGCAGGGGCTTAGTCGAAAAGTATGCGCATACCAATGTGATTTTAATTATGTATGCCTACGGAAATATACCTTTGGATTGAATTTGTGCATGCTCTGGAGCACGCTGCAATGCAAGTCCATTTTCACTGCTCTCTCTCTCTTTTCCCAATGATTCGATGATCTTATGTACTCCATAGTAAATGGAACAATAGTCTTTATCATCATAAATAGTTGACACAATTTCATTTCATCCATTGCAGTTCAACTATTCGCGTGGTTCAATTTGTTCTGGATGAAAGTGGCTACACAATGGTACGCATACATTTTCATAAAATATACAACATTTCCGTTGCTTTGAACACCATTTGTTTATCAAATATTCAATTTTATTGCGAAGCATCTTTCCAAATATTCTCGGTGCGTTCGTGTGTGATAAAAATACACACGCATCCATCGCATGTGGAACAGTGAATTGGAGCAAATGTATATATCTAGATAATTGCTAGGTGATGCATGGAAAAAGTCCTTTTTTCACCAAATTATTTACGCTTCGCCCACGACCCACCGACTATATGGCACAGATGCTCTTGCATTGCTGTTGTTGTTGCTATTGCATGGGTGGAATATTCAAATGTCTGTGATTTTTCGATTATCTGACAAAAACTTTGTTCAAACAATTCCGCTAACGATTTATTGAAACGGAAAAATTTCACTGTTTATAAATTCGTAAACAAGAAGTGCTGAGCTTGCATCAAATATTTGGTTTTCTTTCTCATTTCAGATGACGAACATCGACAAACTCCATGAAATGGTGAAAACCAGCCTGTTCCAATTCGTGAACAAACACATCACTGCCGCCGATTTGAGTGTCGTCGATGAAATTGTCCTGAATTACGTGATTGCCATTTTGGAGGAGGCAACCGAGGACCCAAATTTTGATGTTGACGGTAAGTTTGCTACTTCATTAATAATTATTTGAAAACTAGTAAAAAAAAAACTTAGTTTGAAGCAAGTTCAGTTTATTATTCAAACTGTAAACAAGTGTGGTTTATGTTATCACAGCGTACGGCAGTCTGCTCGAGTAACGATCGGAATTTCAGTAGTATCAAATCCAATACCACTTAGCTTGCTTTCATTAGTAGTTTCAAACACAAACATTTAGTTTTGAAGAATTTGTTTGAACAAAAAGATTTTTGTAATCAAGTTCTTGATTAAGCACAAAAATTTACTCTTCTTCAACCCGTATCTATCGTCAAGATGACATTTTCATATCAAATTTTTCAACCAAAACAATTTTGTTTCTTCAGGTTTCGTCGAAATGATGTCAGCTTACTTCCCGGACTTTTCGCAAATCGAAACAGGCAAAGTGTGCGAATGGATCTTTGAGCTAGCAAACGAAACGTCGAAGAAGAAAAATAGCGTTGAAACCAAGTCAAGCGAATCAATTTTAAAGTAAGTCATGAAAACAAAGCGAGCTATTAGATTCTTTGAAACAGAGATGCATTGACGGAAAAAAAATGAATGAACAACAAATGTTCTTATCTCAGTCGTGAAGTTATTCATTCAATGTTTACATACAAACTTCGATAAGAAACCCAGACAGACTTCATTGTGTTTCTGATGGAGATAACAATGGATATGCTGAATGTAAACAGTAAACAATAATCTGGAATGAGTCAAGTGGCTCAACACGAAATTATCTCAATCTGAATTGTGCTGCAATAACAATGACCTACGTCACCAGGGTCAGGTCAATGCATTCCTATAATTTTCTACAGATTTTTTTCTTTCTAAATGAAATATTGAGCGTGATTGAACGAATTTCTTCAATTAATTGAAACTAATCCCTGTATTCCATTGCAGATCGCTTCGATTGTCCGACATCATTCCAGAGCCAAAGCTGCGAACAAAGTCCATTTCCGAGAGCAACGATGCAAAAGATGACCTGTTCAGTGATATAAATAATTCGAAAGAGAATTTGACTACGTGTGATTTCTTTGTGGAGGAGAGTGTTGCATTGCAGGAAATGTTTCCGGACAGTTCCGAATTGGAGATAAAGCATTGCATTACAATTGCAAATGGTGATATTGATCAGGCGATCCAAATGATTTTGGATCGTGAAGAGAAGGGTCAAAGTTTGACCGGAAGTTTGACAAGCAATCATCCAAAGCAAAAGATCGACGACAATGAGCTCAAGAATCGCATCATTTCGCGATATTCTTATGTCGATAGCAGCACTGAGACCAAGGAATACAAGCCGGTGGTACCGAAGATTGAACCGAAGAAAATGGTTCGATATCGTGATAATAAGATTGTATCGTTGCGCGGTGAACGTTACACGGAGGTATCACGCAAGGGTGAAGAGGTTGAATTGCGCAAACCGAAAAAGCACCACATACCACAACCATAATCAATGCTCAACACCGACAGCGTTAGCGTCACGCAAATACACCACTTTACGAATATTACTCGCAAAAAATACTATAACACAAACAATACACTGCAAATTATTTCAGCTAATTGTACTCTAAATAATAATCTGTATGGTAGATGTTTTCAAATTGTATTTAGAATTAAGACGAGACTGCGGCGATACAGCTGGACAAAGGTTTTGCTGAGATAGATTTCTCTTGCGGTCAGGCATCTATCGCATTTAATTGGATCATACACAAATGAATCAAATGCAACAATGCAATCTAGAATGAAAGGGGGAAAAAAATCGCAGTACAATTGAAAATTGTACTCACCGATATCATGTTATCGTTGTGTAAAAGGCGAAGCCAAATTTTTATAGATTTATTTTACTCTATACTGTCTCTATAACCCATTGGATCGTTGTAGTGTTTAATTCGTAATCGAACAATTTATTTTATCCCAAACAATGATTTTACCATGTATTGACAAGTGACCTCATCAAAAAGCATCGCGTACGACGATATTTTCATTGGAAATGTGTGTGTATGTTCGATATAAAAATGATGTTGAAACCTCAAGGCTGGCACAGATTTTCATGAAAATGACGCGTTTTGTATTCTCCATTTGTTCGCTTCTCAAATGACAGTTGAACCAAGAGACTCACAATAGAAGATGGTGCACTCACAGCAATTTGCTAAGGAAAACAAAGATAAACAGTATTTTTTCAAGACCATTTTTCTTTCAATCACATACATACACACCAATAATTACCTAGAATTCACGTGACGCTTATTTGCATTAGGATCGTTTTACTCTCTCTATTTTTTTTTTTAATTTAATTTATTGTTTTGCCAAAGTAATTTTTAGTTTAAGTTGTAAGATTCAACATCACATATGCTGATTTTTCTTCGTATGCTTTATTTTAAAGACGATTTTTTACTCGTCTACTCTTTTTTTTAGACTTGATCGTCACTCTGTATTTGTCACATGCTTTTTTATCACATTTCCAATTGTATCATTGTTTTGATGTTCACAAATGTTTTGTTTTGTTTCATGAATACGTATGCAAGACAAATGCAACTAAAATCAAAACAACAGCTGATTTCTTTTTTCATAGTTTTTTAAGTTTATATTGATAATTTTTTTTAATGCGCCATTTAGTAATTACCGCTTGTGAAGGAAAAAAGTCAAGCTGGTTCGACTGGTTACTATTTGCTGGTAGTCGCAAATGATCAAATTTAACGAAGAATTTTTTTTTCTAGGCTAAGCTCAAGTACTAATATATAAAATATATAAAATATATCAAAATTTATGTGGAAAAGAACAAAATTGTAATCGTCAAGAACTTTTTGGCTTTCATGATGTTTCGAATAAAATCAATTACTGTTTCTTGTGGATATATCAATAGCAAGGTGGTTTTTATTTTTTATACATACCTTTTTTGGCCCTTTTGCTTAGCTCTGAAAGATTTGAAGATGTTGTGAACTTTTTTCCTTGAATCGTCTTCGCTTGACTCGACTCGACTCGACTCGACTTTTATTTCATATTAAAATAGAAATTTATCAAGTAATTGAATTCGTCCATTTCCGATGTGATTCAGTGGAATAAATTAAATAAATACTTTATTTTCAGGACATTAACCTCATTACAATTATACATTTAAGACTGTCGTTAATTTTATAAAAGATTTTAAACCTAATTTTCAGCTTAAAACGAGGAAAATTTTACTGGGGGTTCCCATATAATTTTGCACTTTCTCAATTTACTAGAAATCGGATTGTCTTGATTTTTACGGTCAATTACATGTTACAATCGGTTGTGCTTGTTAATATCTTTTTTGAGCATTTTTTTCCTTCAAATTTTCAACTCTCAACGCACTCATGCTAAGCGATGGTTGTTTTTAACATTTTAGTGTCCGCTTCCTCCTTTCAAACTAATAACCGCTGCAAAGAGTGCAAAGAAAAAGCCAGCCATTCCAGTCGAGCCCACCAATAGAACAAGTCCTCCGATCAGAATTGGTATCAGCGCAAAGAATTTCAATTTATACGCGATCAAAAGTGGAATGATGAATTTCTTGAACTTTTTCTTGATCTTCAATTTTCCTGGGCCTTTCTTTTTACGACCTTCCACTATCGGCGAATTTTCTGAAAATGATGACCAGAATTTAAATTCATTAGTTTTTTATCTTTAAAATGGTTCATTTTCACATGATATTGATTTTTTTTTATCATTTTTTTTCTTCTTATAACTTCTTCTTTCAATAGTAAAATAGTTTTCATCTCAAATTTTTTATTTTTGCAAAAACATTCTCTATCTGATTAAAATCAATGGCATGTGGTGAAATCGTTGCAGAATCTGTTGTTGTGACAAAGATGCGATGTAATAAAAATGAAAATAATGAAAATAAACTTCGTCGACTCTGAATCGCGTTAAATCAGAATCGGTGTTTTGGTTCAAGTGACCAATTTCGATTCGATCACAACACAGAATTTGAAAATCGCACTGCATTATTGTGCGATGATCGAAGTATGCCTCGACACAAAAGGTGTGTCATATAACATTCGACACAGCGATGATTCTGAATGGGTATTTCAATACCGTGCCATGCAACAATGAACAAATAAATCTTCGCCAAATTTATGATGTAGAAAGAAAATTGGTGAACAATATCAATTGTAGATCAATCTTGTTGTCTGCTTTTTTTGTTGGTAAATAAGTCATAAATTTGGCATAGTTTCAATTGCTATAAATCAATAAACCTATCATCAGTATCAAATAATATCACTGATCTGGGCGCTCAAAAATAGTTTTTCAATCTTTTCGAGTTTTCTTTTTTAATCCTCACTTGAAAAGATTTCAAGTGTTCATTCAATGTCTCAAGTGTTAATGCAGTGGAAAATTATTGTTCAAAAGAAAAGAAAGCCATCGACAGCGCTAACAGCAGAACAATTCAATGGCGGCTAATCTCTGTTAGAAAAGTGTGTATAACACAGGTGTTGACAAAACACCCGCGGTGTCATATGCCGTAGACGAAAAGACAAACGCTTTGATTTCTCGCTTGTTTACATTTCACTTTTCTCGAAAGATGTTCTGTCGTCGACGGCATTGACTGCAGCAAATTGAGAGAGAAACAACGGTCGACAGTTCAATGGCAGTTCATTTACGCGTGATGAAATTTTCTGAGAAAAAAAAAACCGTGGAAATTTTCTTTATGCCCATTTGTAACGGTATCACCAGAATGAAGAGAAAGTGTTTTCATCCGAAGTCATTTATCTATCGTCCATTTGTATAGAGTAAAAGACGAGCCTATAATAGAAACGAAGGAAGAAAAACAATCGATGTTGATGGTAGCACGTTGTTCTTTTAATTTATCTGAAGAAAAAAAACGTCCAAATGAATTGATTTACTTGAATCTTTTACAAAGCAAACTGATGATTGACATGGCCCAACAATAGCGAAACGGTGTGTATTTTCATTAACCACAAGTGATCGGGCTCAAGTGTTTTATTTGGTCGTCGTCGCGCACTCATTGAAAGCAAAAATATTTGTTTTCTCTCATGCCTCTTGATTCAATCACATTGAATGTGTGCCGTAAACCAAGCCAATACGTGTGTTTGTCTTTCGAACCCCCGATATGAACAACTATAACAATTTTCTTGATCGCAAAAAGAATTTTTCACAAAGAGACCTGTCGATACTGACAAAACCCATTTCAATGTAGGCCAACCACACACGATAATCATTCACGTTCATTTACTTTCCGAATTTTTGGAGTTGATCGATACCAACTAGTCTACCGATCGATAAGTTACGGTAGATTTTTTATGCGTGAGCATCCATTAGAAGAACGAGAGGTGTTTTTGTATTTTGTATTTTGATTGTTAATAACATCAAACTGTAATGAGAACTTGATCATTTGATTCGGTTCCGGTGATCAAAGTGGACGTGTGGGAAAAGTTTAATTTCAGCTTTTGCCTTTGTTCGAATGCGAGCATCGGTGAATGCGAGTATCTTCTAACTGTTTCATTCAGCATATACGTTTTCAATCATCGCAATGATTTTTCAAGCACTTTTTTAGAGAAGATTCAAAGTTGGTTGTTGTTTGAATTCACAAACCATTTCGTTGGTGCAGAAACCACGATGTGGTTTCATTTATCGCGGCCCGCACGAATTGGGCTATAAGCATTAGCACGATTTTTTTTCGCAAAAAGAATAGAGATAAATAATTGGTCAGTTAAGTGGTTGTCGACGGAAATTTACGTTTATGATGCCGCGCTCACAAGCAACCGAAATGAATATGCAAAATACACGCTTCTTAATGAGCATGTAATTTCTCTTCTTTCATCGCACGTGAAATTCGTGGCCATTCGCGTTTCATGACTGTACAAGTGCACATCAATGCATACATGCACTCACATATGAGCGGAAAATACAAAGCGCATGTTCAAACCGAAGAAAAAAAAACACAGTGCAATGACTAATAAAAGTGAGAAGTTATGAAAAAAAACAAAAAATGCAAAGAAGCGAAATGGACATAATTCATGTTGGAAATGACGATTTTTTCCCGCATGTTGTTGGTAATTTCTCCGGCGAATCATCAGAAGTACAACGTACAGAAGTAACTGCACTGAGTGAGCTTACTACTTTATTTTGAAATGAAATTTTTCGTAAACAAGAACAGCGATATGGTCAATTTTCGAACTTACCTAGCGTGAACAGGCTCATGATGTAGCTAATAAAATTTTGCATGCGATAGTACATCCCCATAACGGATGTTTTAATACTTCGAAATGTTTCGATGTATTGATTTTCGAGCTTGTACACTTCTGGTGCCCAAAATGGTTCACGCGTAACTTTCACTAAATGATTTTGGCCAGCGGGTGCGATTGGTGGCGGTGCAATATAAGCATCACTCTGGATGCTCGGAATGCTTGGAACATTCGCAATATAAGGAACGGTTTCCAATTGCGGGAAATACGATTGGTGCAAATCGATTTGATGTGCCGGCTGATGATTGCTGGGCACATCAATCGATGGCGGTGGATCGTACCGTGGTGTTGTAATTTCAATCGGTTCGTTGTAATACTGAAATTCCTTCATTATGTGATCGCCAATAATTGCCGCTGGATGTGTGTCACTCAACAGATTCGTGTACGTCGTAACCGATTCCACATCATCGTTGGACAGTTTTCTCGATTGTTCTTGCACATCGTAGTTTGGATTTTCACTAGTCTGGCTGTGATTGGCACTTTGAGAACACTGGCATTGTGCAATTAAATCTAAACTACTGATTAAGCACACTAAATAAATATACGGGATCATAACCGTTGTTGTCATCATTTTCGTTGTAGGCCGTTTTGACAATAGCATTTGTGAAGCGTTAATTTTCTGTTTTTTACCACGGCAATTTGAATCACGCATATCCAATGTACGGCCGAGGTGGTATTTAGGCAATTAAGTCAAAATAACACGAATAATCTGTCTGTAAGAGTAACGGTAATTCGGCTGAATAATATCAAGAACAGATCTCGAAATGTCGATAATAATTGTGTCTCCAAGTCGATCTTTGTCTCATGTATACAACACTCGCGCGCACTTAAGCCACATAAAAACATTCAATCATCTCGGTATAGTCTTTAGAACATAAGAGCTTCTGTGGTTTTTTACACACCAAAAAAATTAATAATTTGAAATTCGTCGTTAAACGGAACTCAACTTCTTAAACGAGCACTGCTTAGCCAATCCAAATATTCTAAACTGGCTTTGAATAATTTTTTTTGCTGGCTGAAAATACTTCGGTTTTTTTATTCTTCCGGTCGAGCAAATTGAACCGAACAAAAAATCACGATAGAGAAAACCAAAATTCCTTCACAGAACATGACAAACACTTCCGAACACGAAGCCTATCGAAATGAGACTGTCATCGTTTGATTCCGATTTGCGAACTGAATGGGTTGCGCCGTTGTTAGTCACATTTTATTAAATTTTTCCTTATGAAAAGTCGAGCCGGACGAGGCGCGCATACGGCACAAGCAACGAAACGACAAAAGGGTACGAGAAAGAGAGGGAAAGCAACACACGAACAGCGAACAAACCGAATCCATTGAAGTCGCTCATACACAACTTGTACGCAGATATGGATCTTGAACTCACTTGCCGCGAGATGCGAGAGAAGAGACTTCTTTATTTCGTTTTTGAGCTAATGGTTCTGCATCAATTGTCGCGTCACTATAATTTTTATTTATATATTTTGCTGTTGCCGTTGTTGTTGTTGCTGGTTTGCTATAAGTTTGACGGCAACCTGAAAACGCCAATCCACACTCGACTTATTCTAGCGCATTGTATGAGATTGTCTCGCTGTTTACACGTTTCGTTACTCATTGTTCGACCTGATCAACTACCAACCTGATTCAATGATGTGTTCTTTTTTCAGAAGAAAATCCACCATTCTGGATGGAGATGAAGGAAATAAAGAAAACACTTTGATTAAGTGCAATTTCAGAAGAAGAAGAAAAAAAAAACAGACTATTGCTCGTGATCTACATTTGGCGGCGGTTTGTACTTTTTATGCCTAGAAATTTTCGTACAAAAATTTTCATTAGACCGACTCGATTACAGGAATTTGCGACGATTCCGACACTTAATTTGAGAGAATTCATTAAAAACGCTAATTTTTTTCATGGAAAAAGAATTCTTGTTTCTTTGGCAGAACTAAACCAAATACTGTTGAGCGAGAAGGGCACAGTCTACATTTGGCGTCAATGTTGAGAGAGATAAAATCAGTTATTGAGCGCAAATTGAACTGAATTAAGCATTGAAAAATAAAAAGAGTTTGGAAATTTTGCATAAAGATTTGCTCCATGGAGCCGAGAAGTGAATTACTATGCGTGGTAATGGCCTGATGATTGAAGGTTTTGCTGAATTCTACAGAAAACCGTATATCTTTTAAATTCTTCTTCATGCAGAACATTGCTCTGGGACTGTGATTGTATTTAAATTTCATCCTATCGATTCTAGAGCTATGATCGTGTCAAAGATTTAGCCAATCGATGGAGCAATTCTTTCATTTGAATCGATAAGAAAAAATTAAAGTGGAAGGCTCTATAGAGATAAACCATGATTCTTGGCTACCAAAGTTATACTTAGCACCATCTCAACAAAGACCACACCTAAGATTTATAGCTTCATTTCCAGGCGTGATTATTCTTTTTCCCCCCATCCAGGCACATTCACATCATAAATACGATAATCTTACATTCTCTGCCTCTATTTCCATTCTCTGCGATATTTCTTATGGAAAATACTCAACATCAAAAATATTCACAGAAAATTGTCAACAACTCTTGTTTTCCCAACAATATGAATTGCAAACAAGCGCAACTTCATGCACTTTGCGTACGCAGATAATTCCACAAGATTGCTTTGGCAGTGAAATCGATGCAAATTTTTGTTCGGTCCAAATTCATCCATTCTGCAACTCTTTTTTTTTTTCTTCAAATCCACTTGAAGACATCGCATAGATGATATAGTTCTTTGATTTGTTTTCACTTCCTTTGATGCGTCTTGTCAAAGTGGAGAAATCTGCTTTCGTTTTTTCTCTTCTAAAAAAATCGTTTGAATTTCGAGCAATGGAAAAAGAAGAAGAAGAAGAAGAAGACAAAGTTGATAAAGTCATAAAGATTTGCGAGTCAATTGTGGAATGAATAGATTATTGTCGTTGATTGAAAGTATATTTTTCGGAATGACTTAAACCGAATATGGAATGATGATGATAATAACGGATTGAACAAATGATCGGCTAATGACAGAGAAGTTAAGTGAAATTTGGTTTATGTCTCTTTATTTCCCTTCTTCTTCTTCTTCTTCTTCTTCTTCTCGTCAGTCTTGATATGAACAGAATAATAATAATAATAGATCACACAATTGACGACAGAATTGTGAAAAGACAACTTGCTTTCGGCACAATGGTTGCAGAGAGCAGATAGAGTGCTGAAATCGTGTTGATATGCAATGATTTCGAGTGAAAAAAAATTTACCTGTCTGAAATTGACAAGCGCGGCAACAATAACAACAATTTCGATGAACAATCTAGATGTGTTGTCTGCCATCAATATGAATTTAAAATTTTTGCGAATAGCATACATTTTAATGTGCGCGAACATTGATTTGGCGAAACGAAACGAATGAAAAATTGAAGTGCAATGGTCTTGTTTTCACTTTGGCCGCCGTGCCATTGTTTTGTCTTGAGCAAAACACTCATGTAAGCAACGCATAAAGAGCTCTTCTTCGTGATAACCGCATTTTATCAGCCTACTCACCACTTTCATCGGATTACTGCGGCCATTGACGGCCACCGATCAATATCCAGTTTTGTTTTGCTGAGCAGCTTTTTAATGTTGCTTCCGATAATCTCAAGACAACGGCGAACCAAACGACTCACTTCTCGACCAACGGAGGTTAAACAATGCCATATGTTTACATGAATTGTACTAATCATGTACAAAATCAAAACATTGCGCTCATGAACTTGCTTTTCATGTTGTCCGATGTTGTCGCACAAGCATTTTTGGCACCGATTTTTTTTCGTTGTCCAAAATCTCACTTTTTATTCTGTGGTCAACGGCGAATTGTTTCCCGCGTCAGTTTTTAATGGACACCATTCGACTGTGAAAATCCACTGAGCTGTGGCTATGCCGATCATTAAAATCTCGACTTTTCTATAGCAATGGATGCACACCAATTCAGTAATATGGGACTTGCTCCAGATATTTTTGACTCACCATACAACTCATTGTTGTCATAACACACTCCGATCTTCATTTAGACGCTTGTTACAGAAGCACGATTTTCACCACTAATTCAACTGTCAAAGTAGCATTTTTAGGCATTTAGTTGTAGTCTAATTATTTATGCATTGAAAAGACACGAAAGTAATTTATCTCAGAAGATTTGCGTGAAATTTTCACATTTCGCATTCGAATCGGACTGCAGCTTCGAAAGCCATTGAAAATCACTCATATTTGTGCAGAGTCATTACCACTTGGCCAAGCACAAATTAATCACTTGATGAGTCTATTTAAATCGACAGGCGAGAAACGGTAACACGCGCATGCCGTAATGGTTTGAGGCGAGCTCAACAGATCGTAATGGCTCGATAGATGCGAAGCACTTAACACGAGAAAAAAGTACAAAGCTAACAAGAAGGAAAAGAAAATGAAAGAAAAGAAAAAAAAAACAAAGTTCGCAAGAAGAAAAGAATGGTGTAAACTTAAAATGAAGCAAAAGTAACTTTGAAACTGCACGCTTTTTGGAGTGTGGTGAAAGTTTCGCGTTCAAGCTTTCTTTAGTCAATGCTCACTCACCAACACCTTTCTCAACACGATGGTTTGCGAACTGGTAAAGCGGAACAGAGTTGTTGTGTGCATGCAGGAGTTTGCTTAGATTTGCTTTGAGGGCTTTCAGATGAATTCTACAACTGCGCTGAATGAATAAATGCTCAGCGAAGCAATGCTTTATTGAAGCAATAGCAATTGAGCATCATCATCAGCACCAACATGAACATAGGCATAAGCATGAACATGAACCGACTTTTTCGAATAGTTACTCAAAAAACCCAGATTTTTCTTGATGAAATGTTTCGACTGGGATAGCGTTGTTGAAATTTGTGTTTGTCTCTTGTCTACATATAGCGGCAGCTGCTATATGAAAATTTTCGGAATGTATTTAGCAGTGGCCACGATAAAACTGTATCATAACAATGGAGAATCGAGCTATGGTAGCAATAGCGTTGATGCGACATCAAGCAGTGTTGTGTTTCCAAGATATTTCGACCTCATCCCCAAATGTATTAAATTCGATGCCATTTAGAGTGTTTGCATCTTGTGACTGAGATCAAAAATCAGATTCTTCCATAGATTCGAATGTTTTAATCTGTTGAAGAGAATGCACATTTTTGAAACAAATTTGTTTTTTTCTCTCAAATTTCTGAACCGAGATTAGACTTAAAGAAATAAGACGACACTTGATTTCTTCATACAAACACACATCAGGTAAAAATTGAATGTGAACATCTACTCATTTTAGTCTGAGTACATGGACAATTTCCGAAGCATGCAAATGTTAATTTTAAATGGAAAAAGAAGAATATACGTTCTCCAATTATACGCCACTGCTAGATTCCGATAGGATTATAGATTTTTTGTGACACATTAACGCTATCATAGATTTTAAATGTTATAATCCAGTGGCCAGCAAAAATTCATTTCGGCTTGTGTTGGTTGAAATACTGCAAAAAAATTTATTATCCCTTGTCCATTTCAACCAAAAATGTTCGAACTCATTAGTAAAGCTGTACCACAGGATTAAAAAGAAGATGTGAATACTCGGTTGAACTGAAGTCTTCACCGTAAATTCTAACGGTATCTCTTCCATTTTTACGATAATCCGATTCGCGGAAAGAGATCTTTTCTGTAAACGCCAACTGATTGTGGGTCACGTAGTCAAATGAGTCAACATTGACACAATTAGGGTTGTTTCTACCTGCTTCTATGGACAAAAGACATACATATAGAAATCGGAATTGAGAAAGTAATTTAAAAATCTTCAACTCATCGATCCGAATTCACTTTTCAAACACACATCGAAGTGTACAGATCAGGTCAGTTAAAATTGACACAGTTGAACTTTTATATATTGTCAAATATCAACAGTTGAACTTGCAAGTTGTCAGCTCCAACTAGCGTATTAGGAAGTATCTCTTCTGAAGGCGAATTGGTTGAAGCGAGAATAGACCAAAATAAGCGAGGATCAAAGATCAATCGACCATCGTATATTGTGTTATTGTATATAGCACGCTCAAGGTAAACGATTTATTTTCATAGCGATACAAGAGTGCATTTTATCTAAATGCCGCGAAAATCGTAGAAAAATCGAAATAATATCATTTTTCAGGATAGCCAATTGTTGATAGTCCTCTCTACTAAAATATTGTTTTTATTTTTCAGGTTCTTCATCGCGATCGAAACAATTTCCTCCATAATAATTACGATGTCAGTGTACAATCCGATCACCAGCGACTATCCAAGTCGAGTGTTTTCTGAGGTTGGAGAAAAGCTATACTTGAAAGCGGACATGGCGGACGTTCATTTCGTCTTCAATTCAGATGATGAATCGATTGAACGAATTCCGGCTCATAAATTAATCTTGATGGCCGCAAGCGATGTCTTTCGAACGATGTTCAATGGAACATGGAAAGAACAGAAAGAGGTGAAGATTGTCGATGTGTCAGCCGATGCTTTCAAGGAGTTTCTTCAGTTCTTTTATCTCAACCGTGTCAAATTGACCATGGAAAATGTCGACAAAGTAATGAACCTCGGCAAAATGTACGATATGGCCGAATGTGTGGCAGTTTGTAGCAAGTTCTTGAAAAATAACCTAAATGATGACAACGTCTGCTCGAGCTATGGATTGGCAATCCTTTTCGATCAAAAAGATCTGAAGCGATCGTGTGAGTCAGTAATCGGTCTCAACACAATTGCTGTGCTCAAGTCACCTGGCTTTTTCGCCTGTAACGAAAAGGCGATGGCTGAAATTTTGAAATTGAATTGGTTGCAATGCACAGAGATCGAACTCTTCGAGGCATGTATGTCTTGGTTAAAGGCAATTTGCAAACAAGACGTTTTAACCAAGGAAATCGTGCAAGCCAAACTGGGTGAATCGTTTTATGAATTTCGTTTTGGTTTGATGGTATTGCAGGACATTCATGCAATGATTTCGAACTATTTCTCGCACAGTGAATATGCGGAAATTTTCCAAATGATTACATACAACGGACTGTCACCGGATCAATTAGATGTAAATCAAGCAAAACGATTGAAGCAAATGAAACGTGACTCGTTTCCATGGGATGAAAAAGATTTGATTCAATTTGGTCGATTATTCTCAAGATATAGATCAACTGAACCATATTTTATCAAAAATTTGGAAATAACCAAGTTTTCTAGCAATGGGCCACTTCTACTCAAACAATTTGAACTTTGTACTGTTTCCAAATATCTTAACGGAAAATTTCAGGATACATTTAAAAATGTTCCAACAGAAATGACGATAGTCGAAGTGACCGGTGCTGAGAATTCTAAAAACGAAACGCTACTATATAATGAAAAAGAAAACTTGACTTCGCCCAACTCAGACCCTCATCGCATTGTTTGTTTGTCTAAACCAATTTTCATTCGACCCGGATTTGTATACGAAATTCGATTGAAACAAGATCCCCCAAAAGATTGTGCTATAAGTCCTTTAATGATGTCTGAAAGAAGGAAAGAAGGCATAACCATCCAATTTCATGACGACCCATTGATACCGAATGATTTTTCACGAACAGGCCTAGTTTATAAACTCATGGTCTATCCAATCGGGATATAGTATTCGACCACATTAATTGCACTCATTTTCAGTGGCAATTTTTTCTCTTAACATTAAGTTGCAATTAAATTTTTTCAATAGAACGAATGAATGAATTCACCACATGCTCGTCGTTTTTTTTTTCAACCTGCAGGATGAAATTGCCGTCATGACGGTACTGATTTCTGTGAATATTACACAAGACGGCAGACAAATTAAACGACATTTTAAACAGAAATTAGACACTTGAGTGTAAATTACGTTAGTGGCATCTCAAAATGAAGGACTAAAAAAAATATTGTCGTGATGCGACTGGAAAACAGTTATTGTAGTAACACAAATTAATAAAGAAACAAAATGTCAAACCAAAATAATAATTTAAAAAAAAAATCAAAAATTATCGCAAAAATAAAAGATTTTTATTTACATGAACATTAGCAGTTTCTGTGTTTTGACAAATATGGCATGCAGTATGAAAGAATTCTGCCAAAAAAAAATAATATAAAGGACCTACGGAAATTGATTTAATTGTTGACTTTATTGAATCACGACTGTTTTTTTTTTCATTTTCCTCACAAAGTCTCCCATTTTTCACAGCAAGTAATATTATTTGAACCATTGCGACAAACGAATTCCCTCAGAATATTTTAGTTACAGAGTGCAACATGATATAAAATTTTTTTTTATATAGAGTTTATAACAACAACTCCATATGAAAGAAAATTTATGTTGCACTTTAAAACTAAAATATTCTGTGGGAATTTGTTTGTCGCAATGGTTCATTTAAAGCTGTGAATTATCACTCCACTCATTATTTATGTTTGCATTAACACTATGACTGTTCCTCATATTTGCAACATATTACTGTTCTTGGGGGACTCCAGGGCCCCCAAGATACTTCATATGAAATCTGGACTGTGATAAGAGATAACAAATTAGTGCCTGAAGCAAAGTTGTAATACTCAAAGTTTGCTATAATTTTGGTGCAACAAATATTGCTTATCTCTTATCAGTTCCGCGAAAAACGCGAAAAAACGCGAAAATCGCAAAATTTTCCCACATCGTTTTAGTGAAGCTGATAAGAAGTAAGAGACTTGCCTCTTCGACAGAAATGTAGAGCAGCTTGAGTACTACAACTTTACCATAGACATGAAGTCGTTATCTCTTATCAGTTTCGCGAAAAATGATTATCAAAAACTTGCGTTTTTCGCGTTTTTTCGCGTAACTGATAAGAGATAATGACTTGATGTCTGTGGTGAAGTTGTAGTACTCAAGCTGCTCTACAACTTTACCGAAGACAGCAAGTCGTGATCTTTTATCAGTTTCGCGGAATACGCGAGAAACCGCAGAAAACCGCGAAAAACGCGTTTTTTTCCTTATCATTTTTCACGGAACTGATAAGAGATAACGAGATGGTGTCTAAGGCAAAGTTGTAGTTCTGGTCGAGTACTAAAATTATTCTGATTCATTATTTCGTTATCTCTTATCAGTTCCGTGAAAAAACGATAAGGAAAAAAACGCGTTTTTTCGCGGTTTTTTGCGGTTTCTCGCGTAATTGATAAGAGATAACGGAATAATGAATCAAAATAATTATAGTATTCGACCAGAACTACAACTTTGCCTTAGACACCATCTCGTTATCTCTTATCACTTCCGTGAAAAATGATAAGGAAAAAAAACGCATTTTTTCGCGGTTTCCTGCGGTTTCTCGCGTATTCCGCGAAACTGATAAGAGATAAAGACTTGGTGTCTTCGGCAAAGTTGTAGAACAGCTTGAGTACTACAACTTCGTCATAGACATCAAGTCGATGTCTCTTATCATAGTCCAGTTATAATATAAAATAGCGATGGGGCCCTGTGCTCCCCCAAGAACAACAGCGTAAAATGTTTTGCGGCAGGCTGTATTTTACACATACTCACACATATGCATTATGCATATGTTTTTTTTTCATTCGTGTAGAGAAATGTTCAATCTATACAATGAGACTTAACTCCGGTTGGTTTATACACTCTTTAGTACTTTTATTCAACTTATCAATCATAGTGTTAATCTTTCACCGTGAATTTTTCGCTATTTTTAACTGAGATTCAACACGACATTTGAGTAAACTTGAAATATTATCCTCTATTGGTCAAGCGATGACGTAAACGAAATATTCATCTGAAAAAATATGTTCAGTGAAAAATGTTGTCCATTTCCCAACTACATAATGTATTGTCACGCTGAAATGAGGTTTTTAACTTATTTACGAATTTTGTGTCGAATATTCAGTTTGAGCAACTGTTAATCACCAAAAATACTTTCAAATACCAATATTTTCAAATATATCAACCGAGAAAAAATGTTTATTTTTTCATCTCGATATCAACAATTCCTATAAGCTTTCTCATTAAATTCGTGGCAAATTCATCTTTTCTCAAAGGATAGGTTTCGGCGCATTTTTTTTCTATTTTTTCATAAGCCGTAGCAGTTTGTTGATGAATTGTTTTCCATGTGTTTGTAACATTTTTCACACATATAAATCGTTTATTTACAAGTATTCTGCAGTTGTCGGCGACAGTAGACTTCAGGAAAGAATCGTAGGTAAATACAAACAACCAATTATTTTGGTCTGAGTACAAGGACATTCCGAAGCATGCAAATGATTATTTTAAATGGAAGAAGAAGAATATGCGTTCCTAATTATGCGCCACTACTTGACACTCGGGATTATAGATTTTTTGTAACAAGTTGAGGCTATCATAAATTATTAAATATTTTAATCCATTTTCTGTACTATTTTCGCGATAATCCGATTCGCGGAAAGAGATCTTTTCTCTAGATACCAACTAACTGTGTGTGGTACACGTAGTCAAATGAGTCAATATTGGCACTTTTAGGATTGTTTCTACCTGTTTCGATTGTTAATGGGCGTTCATATCGAAATGGAGATTGAAAAAGTAGTTTAATAGTCTTCGGCTCATCGATTCGGATTCACTTTTCAAACACACATCGAAGTGTACAGATCAGATCAGTTAAAATTGACACAGTTGAACTTATATAAATTGTCAAATATCAACAGTTGAACTTGCAAGTTGTCAGTTCTAGCTAGCGTATGAGGAAGTATCTCTTCTGAAGGCAAATTGGTTGAAGCGAAAATAGACCAAAATAAGCGAGGATCAAAGATCAATCGATCATCGTATATTGTGTTGTGATTTATTTTCATAGCGATACAAGAGTGCATTTTATCTAAATGGCGCGAAAATCGTAGAAAAATCGAAATAATATCATTTTTCAGGATAGCCAATTGTTGATAGTCCTTTCTACTAAAATATTGTTTTTATTCTTCAGGTCCTTCATCGCGATCGAAACAATTTCCTCCGTAATAATTACGATGTCAGTGTACAATCCGATCACCAGCGACTATCCAAGTCGAGTGTTTTCTGAGGTTGGAGAAAAGCTATACTTGAAAGCGGACATGGCGGACGTTCATTTCGTCTTCAATTCAGATGATGAATCGATTGAACGAATTCCGGCTCATAAATTAATCTTGATGGCCGCAAGCGATGTCTTTCGAACGATGTTCAATGGAACATGGAAAGAACAGAAAGAGGTGAAGATTGTCGACGTGTCAGCCGATGCTTTCAAGGAGTTTCTTCAGTTCTTTTATCTCGACCGTGTCAAATTGACCATGGGAAATGTCAACAAAGTGATGAACCTCGGCAAAATGTACGATATGGCCGTATGTGTGGCAGTTTGTAGCAAGTTCCTTAAAAATAACCTAAATGATGACAACGTCTGCTCGAGCTATGGATTGGCAATCCTTTACGATCAAAAAGATCTGAAGCGATCGTGTGAGTCAGTTATTGGTCTCAACACAATTGCTGTGCTCAAGTCACCTGGCTTTTTCGCCTGTAACGAAAAGGCGATGGCTCAGATTTTGAAATTGAATTGGTTGCAATGCACAGAGATCGAACTCTTCGAGGCATGTATGTCTTGGTTAAAGGCAATTTGCAAACAAGACGTTTTAACCAAGGAAATCGTGCAAGCCAAACTGGGTGAATCGTTTTATGAATTTCGTTTTGGTTTGATGGTATTGCAGGACATTCATGCAATGATTTCGAACTATTTCTCGCACAGTGAATATGCGGAAATTTTCCAAATGATTACATCCAATGGACTGTCACCGGATCAATTAGGTGGAAATCAAGCGAAGCGATTGAAGCAAATGAAACGTGACTCGTTTCCATGGGATGAAACAGATTTGATTGAATTTAATCGATTATTCTCTTTATATAGGTCGAGGGAACCATATTTTATCAAAAATTTGGAAATAACCAAGTTTTCCAGCAACGAGCCACTTTTACTCAGAAAATTGCAACTTAGTTATATTTCTGAATATCGTGACGGCAAATATTCTTCACCTCAAAATGTTGCCACAGAATTAACTATAGTCGAAGTGGCTGGCACTCAAGATTCTAAGAAAGAAACGCTACTATACGATGGAAAAGCATACTTACCTGCGCCCAACGCTGGTCGCATTGTTTGTTTGTCTAAACCAATTTTCATTCGACCCGGGTTTGTATACGAAATTCGGTTAAAGCAAGATCCCCCGAAAGACTGTGTTGTTGGTGTTCTACTCAAACCTGAAGTCCAAATGAAGGAAGGCGCAACTATCCAATTCCATGACGACCCATTTTTACCGGATGATATTTCGCGAACAGGCCTAGTTTATAAACTCATGTTCTATCCGATCGGGAAATAGTATTCGACCACATTAATTGTATTCATTTTCAGTGGAAATTTTTTTCTCTTAACATAAAGTTGCAATTAAATTTTTTCAATAGAACGAATGAATGAATTCACCACATGCTCGTCGTTTTTTTCAACTTGACAGTACTGATTTCCATTAGTATTACATAAGACGACAAACAAATTAAATGACATTTTACATTTTCATACACAAAGTAGACACCTGAGTTTAAATTACGTTAGTGGCATCTCAAAATGAAGGCTTAAAAAATACATTGACAATGTAGAGCTTGTGGTGTGACTGAAAAACAGTTATTGTGGAAAAAACAAATAAAGAAACAAAATGTTAAACCAAAATAATAAATTAAAAAAAAAAATCTAAAATTATCGCAAAAATAAAAGATTTTTATTTACATGAAACATTATCAGTTTCTGTGTTTTGACAAATATGGCATGCAGTATGAAAGAATTCTAACAAAAAATATATAAAAACACCAATGAAATTGATTTATTTGTTCACTTTATTGAATCGCGCCTGTTTTTTTTTTCATTTCCCTCAAAAAGTCTCCCGTTTTCACAGCAATTACTATTATTTTTAAAGCCGTGAATTATAATTCTACTCATTGCTTATATTATGTTTGCACTGATCTTTAAATTTGGATTATTCTCTAATTTCACTTAGATTTAACGTGTCAAAATTTGTGTCTTTTTCTAATCTTCGTCCTTGATTCAATATCTTCTGCAGTGATATAATGACATTAGTTCTCTCCGCAACGCTTCGATTACCATGCAAAAAAATTTCTTCACTTCACTTGCATATATGTCACATATACATAATAGGTTCATGATAATTCACAGAAAATATAGCGTGTGATGTTCTTTTTTTCCTTGTATTGATCCAATAATAAGTATTCTATGGTTTTGAAAGTTTCCAATTGAAACCTGCTTCAATAAATCATCATTCGCAAACTGCATGTTAATTTTTTTTATTACTGATAATAAAAGTTTGACTGATGTTTTCTCCAACCCACGGAAAATACTAGTTCCAACGTACCATACTTAACTATTTTATGTGGTCAACCAAATCTGAAATGAACGAAATGAAATGCTTCGCAATTGATTTATTAATTGTTTTTATTGAAATTCGTTTGAATCCATCCAGTGTGTGTGTGTGAAATGGTACATGCTTTAGAAAATCGTTAATACAAAAGGCGTTAAAACTAGCATCTAAAAATCAATGAAAACCGTATTTGTTTTGGATTGTGTCTGTGTGTAAGAGTGAGTGTAGCACAACGGAAAGTAAGTAAAGCGATTTAACGGAACTACGAACATTGATCCGGATGTGTTTAAATGCAAGCTCTGGCTTTCTTGTTTTATTTTTCAATAGAAAATATATAACGTACATCTTTTATTGAAGAAAGTTGAAGAGAAGTTGATGATCGAACTATGTTCGATGCGAAATTTTAATGAATTTTCAAAAACAGAGAAATAGATAGAGATAGCGAGTTGATTGCTTTTGAATTTTATTTTTGCTCATTTTACGTACTTTTTTTTTACATAAAAGTTTGCACAAAAGTCAATTTGTCATTGAATTAGGTCAAAAATGGCTTCATTTTCCTTAACAACTAAATTTTTTCATGTTTTCTTCGTTCAAGAGTATTTTCGTATTTTCCAAAATTTCTGTTTTTTTTTCAATTTTCTTGATTTGTTCCATCAATTCTTTGTGCTTTTTTTCTTCCAAAGTGTCCTTGCAATTTTTTATAAAACTTGCATTATGAATATCATATACTACAGTATAAAAAGAGAAAAGAAACTTAAAGAAAGAACAAAATAAAAAACGTTGTCTCAATTTTCTCGCCAGATAACGAAAAGACAAAAGAAAAATCAATGAATAAATAAATAAATTTGTCTTAATTTCTACGGCATAAATAAATAATAATGATGAAAAGCAAATTTTAGTATACAATAAATGTGTCTAATAGTAAAATTAACTGCCAGCCGGCTTGAATGTTGCTCAACTCGTTCAGCAAACAACGATCCAAGGCGATTTCATTCCAAAAACTCTGCTTATTCCGTTTTGTACGAATAGGCGTTGTAGGCAAGGTTTTGAGCTTCGTTTGAACGACGATCCCATCCACCACCACCACCATGACCGCCAGATGATTGCCAACCTCCGCCTGAGCCACCAGATGACCATCCTCCGCTTGATCCACCACTCTGTTTACTCGATAACAGCTTCTTGATACCAATGATACCGGCCAACAACAATGCGATCTTCGACACGATCAACGCTTTTCCGGCCAATAAATACAAACCGGCAATTGCGACTGGAACCAATGCAGCCATTTTCATTGCAAAGCCCATCATCATCATGCTCATCATCTTCTTCATTTTGCCACGACCTAGAAATGTTGATATAAAAGAACAAAAATGAAATTTAATCTTAAGTAAGCATAAGAATGGAATTTAGGTAGGCACATGAACAAAATTTTTTTTAGCAAACACAAGAATAAAAATCATTTTTTCATATTTTTCGTCTCTATGTAGATCGTACGAATAGAATTATGTCAGCGTTTTATTGTTGAATTGAAATGATACGGTTGAGTTCGGCCGATTGAGAGTTTTATAACTGGACCATCTTCAATAGCACAAAAATGTTCGCGCATTACTCAATTCGACCAATTCAATTTCGACCATACACATGTGACATAAAACGGTACTCGGTCGCGCCGCAACACTTCTAGAACGAGAAAGAATAGACGTATTTGGAAGAAGATCGTCATAATAATAAGTTGCTCTGATCCACTGACTTATATAACGCCGCGCAAACAAACGAATCATAACGCGTGCACGCAACGAGTTGCACAATAATGGCAGACGATTTTATGAATTTGACTGCTGATGCTGATACTAATCATGCGAAAGCAACATACCGATTTAGATGAGTCGAAGTAAGCCAAGAGTCGAAAAAAACTAAGTGATGAGCTCGATTTGATGCTACGCATGTATGAATGTTTTTAACATGAAATTGGAATCACGTGCTCGAAATCTTTAACATAGCGGTTTTTGGCATATATTCTCTTAGATCCAAGCACACGTAAAAGAATGGAATCGACGAAATGCTACGCTAATGCGAGAAGTAATCACATCAGCCTATTTTTTTTTCTTCAAAAAGTAATTGTTTTTATTTACTGTTTCTCGCGAACTTCGGGAATAACAGAATTTTTTTTCTGTTTTCAAACAGAAAAACAAGTGCATGTCGATCGACCTTTTCTAGTTTTTGTTTATTTATCTTTTTTTCTTGTGAAACATAGAAAAAATGAACCAGTGTCATGTCATTTCAATCTGACGCAAAAACCAATTTTGACACAACTTTTTCAGTGTGTTGTTTTCTTTCGGTGACAAAACAGAAATAAATTATGTAGCAAAAGATGTTGAGTGACAATTTCATCGTGCGTCAACAGCACCAACAATAAAAGTGTGTCGACGTTTACAAGCCACTTTTGTGGTGATTTTCATTCAAAAAGGGCTTTCATTGAGGAGATTATCCAAGAATATTTATACTTTCTCCCACAAAACACACCGAACAATAATAGAGAAGCCACAGAAGAGAAAGAACGCATTCGATTTCTTGCTAAATGGCAAAGCATTTAATTTCATATGAATGTCATGGAATGATGGTTTAGACAGTTGTCTCTTGTTATTGCTTTATTTGTCACTAATTCGCAATTTTTCTTTCTTTACCGAGTGCCGCCTCAACGACTCTTCTTTTTATTTCGTCGCTTTGTCTGCGTCTTCTTAACACATTACCGATCGGGCAATTAGAAATGAAAATACCGAACCAACGCAATATGAGCAATTGTGTGCGGTGGGTTTGTCGCATTCCACACTCTAATCGGTGGCTAATCAGATCGTATTTCAGTTTCTTCTGGTGACAATGTGTGCGTATCGATTGGGTGTCACACTGTACGCACGCGCTCGATGGCAAGCATTTATTTGATCACATTTTACGTGTGTCACGATTGACATATTTCAAAGCCGTTGCTGACTTTTTTTTCACAGAAAACTTGGAAAGTGGATTCCATGGGTACGCGATATGTGGCAGATCAATTTGTTTGGTATATTCCATATCAGTGGCTGGGAAATGGCATTGAAGAGAAATAAATGTAATTGCCGAGCGTATGAAAATGCAAATAGTACGGCTGATTTTTTTTCAATCGCCAGCCAATCCCCATGCCACTAACTAGTGACTTGTCATCGACAATGTGTCGCTTTATTCTCATTGATTTGGTACGTGATCTTCGGTTGAATCTTTCAACTTGAATACACAGACGATTCAAACCTCTTGTGGTGTGCATCTTCCCATTCAATCCATGTCGCGTATCAATGATTGTCGTAAATCGTTTCGTTGGTTTGTAGAAAATTCACATTTGCAAGCTAAGTTATACGTCCCCGTTTTCGTCATTGCATCGAGACATTGTTTGCGATTTTTTGCTTTCTTTCGTTGTTGCAATGCCTGCGCAACAGTACACCAAATGCACACTTTGGATGCATGCTCGCTATGCACACTTTGTTCATCGTACAACGCTCAATCGATGTGAATCGTTGGAATCACTATGCAACGATGTATATTCATGAGCGTGACCTTTCTTCTCTTCTTCAATGTTAAATATCATCAGTTTCATATTTGCACATCTACCTCATACACTCACGTCGACATTGGATGCACCGTGTGCCGTTCAAGAAAATGCCATTTGATTTTACTTTTGCTCAAGCTGTTCTCATCTAGTTAACATTTTCTATTTCACTATTTTCACCATAAACACAGCCAAACGGTATAATTGTTGACCTCCATATATGTGATTCTCATGCGTTTATTTCGCATTTTCACCATTATTGTTGCAATAAATTTTCGGGCGATGGAAAAAAGTAAAAGTAGTTTTTGGTTTGAACAAAAAGTGTTGGGCATAGAGAAAATAGACAAATTTGTTTTCTGCGTACAAGAGATTAACACCAGAAAAAACTGCTCCATAGCAAAACAAAACAACTTCATTCAATTTAATGGGAAATTTCCGACTCTGATAAAAGTGAATTAGACGCGCTCCGTGTAATGGATGTTTAGTTGCTGTTTCTTTCTTCGAAATTAAATTGCCTTTTGAGTAGCCAAGAGCAACGATGGCAATGAAAGAAATCCAGAGAAGAATGATACTTGGGCTACTATAAAAATGGTTAAATTACACATTTTAAACACATATAATTTTACTTTTCATTTTTTTTCTGTGTGTGATTCGAAATGGTAAAAAATTGTGCAGAAAAAACAACACTTCAATGCTCGCCTATTTCTTTCCAAGTGTTTCTCTTGTTTTCACGTTGTTTTACTGCCCAAAACGACAGCATCCGATTCTAACCATCGTTTGCCAAAAACGCCAAAAAGAAAAACCAAATTATTTCTCTCTTTTTAATTGGAACCATTTTTTTCTTCATTTTTTTTTTACATTTCATTCATTGCCAAATGGATAAACCGCTCGTTGTTTGTATACCTTTTCTCTTTTCTTTCTTTCCATGGGCATTTTCTTTTCAATTGTCCGACAGAGTTGTGTTTTATTAACTAACCTACACTGTATGGATACATTGCACTGGTGAAACAATTGTTTTTGCACAAAAGACGTCGACGCGAGAGAGAGTAAATTGGTGTGAATGTTTTGTCTGCACTCGACACTCGGGCAATGGACCAAAGCTAAATCGACTTTAATTTTCCCTTTTTGCCCAGTTCCCATTTTGTTGACGTATTTTATACCGCCACTGCTAACGCCGCCAAACATTCGTTGCTTCCGAAGCACGAGCAATTGGCGCCGATCTTCTCGCCTTTTTGGTTACATGTTGAAGGATTGAAATATCCCAGGCTATTTTTTACGTTGTTGGCTTTTGTATGCCCATTGCTCACATTCAAATCGACTTGAAATGGTTTTTTTTGTGCGACTTTTGTAACATTTTCATTTCAACTTGAAATTTTTCAAGCAACCGTTTTGATTCATGAACTTTATTTGCATGTATTGTCTCCGGAATCATTAATCATGGAGTGATTTTCTCGCCGAAACGACAGCACTTTCGGTTTTTAGAGCATCGGAAGTATGCTTTTGATGTCGGGTTTTTTTTTTGGTCGCAAATTGATGTTGAGACAACAGACGAGTTTTTCATGTTTCATTTTTTGTCGATATATTTCAATCGATTTTCATGCGAGCAAACCGCTTATATCGGTTTCATTTTCATGGTTTTCTTCATCATTTCTTGTTGCTTTTCTTCTCTCAAACAGAAGAAAAACGATTAAAATTTTTCGATAGTCGATTATTTACAGCAGAAATCGATTTTCGCCCTGAAAATTAGCAATGCTTCGAGCCAATATCCGGTGCAATTCGATTTTCGATCTGCATTCCTTTTCGGTTTTCATTTCACTTGGAATCGATTCGATGGAAAAAACCATTCGGTCTTTAGTGGCAAATAAACGCCTGCTAATCGCACGATATTCGTGGAAATTAAGAAATTGTTATGATTTGGCCGAAAAATTAAAGCATTTTGAAAGTAAAATGCAACAAAATCTACGCTCGCTGCAAGCACGATTCTTTTGGTGAAATAGAAAAAAAGAGAAAATCCCTCTTTCTGTCGTAATTGAGCATCGAGTGCATGGCATTTTTTTTTTTCGTTCTTACAAAATAAACACACAACTCATGGTTTAGATTGTGAAGGCCTTTCAATCCGGAATCTGTGTGTATGTGTGTTCGTTCATAGCGATTCCAAGTGGTTTGGAATACAAACGGTCGGGACCAATGCAATGCAATGCACGATCACGATTCTATACATAATGGCTTGGCGCTGTCTATTTGCATTTTGTGCATCTTTTTAACAACAAACCATATCTGGCCATCGTATAAATCATACGAATGGTTCTTTTATTGCCATTACCCCGGCCACTGAAACAGCTACGAAAAAAGAGATAGTCGTGTCCTATTTTCCAACATTGGATGAAACAACAGCAACAACAAAATGTGCACTCTGTGTTTATTTGCTCGCTTGGTTCGCAGCCAGTGTAGGCTTTTGTATACACTTTAATTCTATATACTTTTGTCTCGCTATTGGCTCCTTTCGATGGCTTTGGTTTTTGCAACATTTGCACATAGACAATAACAATCGAGCAAAAATCCAAAGAGAAAGTAATGCCTTGACCTTACGGCGATGAACAACCGATGAATTTTCAATGATTAAACCCAACATGCGCATGCCCACATTTACACTGTGATCAAGAGATTGCAGGATGTTATTTTTCACCTCGAAACATGATCGCAAGGATGTAATTGAATATTTTGATTTATGACTCGTTGAAACGAATCATTTTTCATTGGAATGAAGATAATTGAGGACATTTCTAGTGTCTTTCGGTTTTTTTTTTACATTTTTTAATTATTTTTTTCTAACTTTTTATGGAAATTTTTCATTTTTTTCTCTTTTCTTCCAATTTTTCCCTTCTTTCATTTTCTACAGTTTTCATTGCCCACTTGTTGAGCCTCTCTCTCTATTTCAGCTGAATCTCTCTACTTCAGTGTTCAAACAACGATGCAGTCAAAGGTTTAATTCATGCCATTGATCAATCGAAGAGTTGGTGTAACGAATCTATTGCTCTCTCAGTATGGGATCATGAAAATGGTTCGATATCAAAGGTGGCCCCGTATGATTCACGACGCAGTGAAAGTGTAAAATCATCCAGAATGAATGTTTGGACTATTTTTTTCTTCTTCTCCACAAAACCAGCGATAATTGTTCAATATTCGCACCAAATGGATCGTGTCACTGTTTTTTTTTTTGCTCAAAAAGTGGAACCTGATCATGAAAAAAGTTACCCATTGAACAATAATAACATTCCAACAATGAGCTTGAGTCGGAAAATGGGAAATGAACATCATACGCACAATTCAATGGAAAGTTGTTCTGTTGCCCGTGACGCCAAAGAAAACTATTTGGAATAATTTTTTTTCCCTCAAAACTCTACTGATCTCAATTTAAGCGCGTCGTTTACCAATAGAACAGCAATAATAGTATAGTATCAAGAGCGCGTTTTTTTTTTATTGAGCTCAACAATGCGACTGCAAAATACAAGTCGGCATCAATTCGTGTATGTGTTGTTTTTTTAGTTGATTTCAACACTTTTCGTTCAACAGTTTTTCGCTGATTGCTATTGTGTATGTATGGTAAAGAACATGAACTATATTCTGATTTTTTTTTCTTTTTTTTTTCAGCGAGACGTTCTTTTCCATGGTTTTCATTCACATTAAATACAACTGAGTGCGCGAACAACTGAAAAACACAGCATAAATCAGGTTAATTGCACATGAGCGAAAAAGACAGCGAGAAAGATACAGAGGCGGCGAAAAAAGTAAAAAAAATACGGCCCAAAGAACGCGTACATAATTAAATAGACGAGGCGCACAGCAGCTGAAGAAGAAGAAGAAGAAGAAGAAGAAAGAAAACACAATGCCTATCATGTTCTGTTGTGTTGTTCAAAGTGTGAATTACCTTTCAGTCAGAGATAATGTGCGTACGAAATAAGCAATCGAAACGCAACAACAACAACAACAACAACAACAAAAAGTAGAATTGAAAGAAATGTGCGGAAAAGAATGCGATCGACTCAAAGTCGAGCACACCACAAAAGAAGTACACATCATCAGCGCAAACCACCAATCTGGATCATGCCTTATGAATATTACTAATTCGTTTTAAATGTACGATTTATTAAAAAGAAGAAAAAAAAAGAAGTGTATCTTTCTCATGTTCTAGGGCAACCGCTCGCATTCAATTATCATAAAGAAAATATAGATTTTTTGTTGTTGTTCTCTGTCGGTGAGATTCAAAACGAAAAGACGTCGCTTTTGGAATTTTTCAAAATGAAACGATATTAGAGATGAAGGGAAAAAAATTTAGCAGAATTGCCGCAAATTCACATCAATTTTTCCATTTATTGCCGTAAACGAATGTTTTAGAAAGAAATTTACCGTACCGATAAAGGACCCGAAGCAATGTTTTATGTGGCACATGTGGAGAAATGCTCTTTTACCGCGTGTGTGCTTGTGTGCTGGCCGCGTTTTCCATTTTCGACACGCCATTGAAAATTACAATGCCAAAATCCGAAGTCAATCAACAAGTGGCAATTTCATTTGATTACTTTTTATATGCGATTGTTTTGGAAATTGCGATTCCTCTCTTCATTCTTTTCATTTCATCCAATTTCAAACAAACGGCGGCTAAATTAAAACCGACATTAACACTTGGCCCATTTTATGGGCATGCTCGATTCCTCCGACAATTACATCTGGAATATAAACGAGTTGAATAAGTTTTTCATCGAAGAATTTTACATCTAAACATTTATTGATTGATGCGTTGCTCGGCGGCGGGCATTTTTCTTCACTAAATATGGAAAGGTAATTTTGATCGACCAAACACATGATTATGCGTATTTGAATTGTGTGTACGGTGGCCACGCAGAAATAGTGGCGTCAGTCACACTTGGTCAATCGGTCATTGTGCGAATCGGTGGAAGAAAGTGAATGAAAGAGCCACTATTTGATCAATAAAAATTAATGATCTGACGAATTTTTCTTAATCGAATCCATTCGGCGGTTTGAAATGAGTTTTAATCAATTTAATTGTTATTTTCTGTTCAATTCAGCGCAGAGAAATGATTCTAGTGCGGAAATCGTGACTCATGCATTTTGGACAAGAGCGATTTTGCGAAGCGGGATGCAGATTGGCAAAATGATCTATTCTTCTGTGGGTCAATGAAAGACGCTTGGTAATTTAATAATAATTAAATCAAATCCATGATTTGAATATTCAGCATATCCATAGAGAAACATTCAGTCAATGAATAGTACGGTGAGTTCATTCAATCAAGAATATATTTATTACTCTTTGAGTTTTTTACTTGTTCGAAAAGCATAATCCGAATCAAAGAGCGAGAAAAACAAACGTGCAAAAGCAAGCGATTTTATTAAATTTTACGGAGTGTCGATTTGACTGAATGAGAAATAGGAACGAATCAACTGAACTGAAACTCATTCCACCTCAATTAAATCGGTAATAAATCGTTGAACAAATTCTCGGCATGCACACGTGTTTGCACACTTGGTTACTGCATAGCATAGCATCGTGTGTTTTCACTGCGGCGAATGCGTGTGCAAATAAAGCGTGAAAGAAGAACAACAACAACAACAAATTATGAATCATAAGATAGTGTGATTGTTAAAATGTTGAATGTCTTGAGAAATGATTGAAATTGACGATTGGCGATCGAGAGAGTAGTGGTGATTTTATTTTCGATATCGACTGCAGGGCAAAACACACACAATGACTCTGCAGGTAGAATGTGTGCGGAGAACGAGAGAAAATTGGGAGTCTATGATCTGTCCCTGTGTGAGAGTCAAATGGAATATTGAAATTACTATTATTTTCGAATTATTCAATTATTTACGTCTTTCTATTTGCAGAACACTAGCACGCAAATGCATCGTAAACGAAAGATAGAATGGAAATCTCAGCATCATTCTATCACATCGTGTATGTTTCCCCGCTCGTTCTCAACATTTGTTATGCCTTTTCTGTATACGTATGATTTAATTTTCCAGTGTGTTGTTGGTTTAAAATCATTCGTCGAACAAAATGAACGGTGGAAATAAGCCAACCGTTGACCCACTTCGATTCGGTGTTGGTACTAGTTTTTCCCAGCGCCGTCGATTGTAAACAACCAGCTACAAGCGAATATTCCGCTGTGTAAATAATGGAAAAACACACGAAACGTGATCTTCTTTAACCACTTTCAAATAATAAAAACAACATTTCGCCGCGTCATCATCGAACATCCGAATCCGTATGGTGCACGGTGTTTCATACGACACCATGTTAAATGACACTTAATCGAAAATAATTCCTGTTTTCCCTGACAGATACGTTAGAAATGCTGAGTTTTCTGCGCATCATCTGGTGAGTGGCTAACGACTTTTTCCTCATTAAACGACATGCAAAGCAATCATGAGCCTCGCATCAATGTTTAAAATTGAGTGTGCGTTTTTCTTGAAATTGAATGTGCGAATACAATTGCGCGGGAAACGTGATAAATCGATTCGATCACATGCATTGTTGACGATGTTTGCACACAAACCGCACGTTGCTCGAAAACGCAGCCACTTAATGGTTTCGATGGCGTCTTGAAAACAAGTTTACTTTTGCAAACCGTACAATTTTGCTGTGTGAATGCAAACCAGAATCGTTTGTGAATGGAATTTCTTCACTTTTACGAATGCCACGTACACGGACGTACTCAAATACTATTTATTCAATTTTTTTCTACTAAATTCATATATTCTTCAAGAACAGCTCTTGACTCATTCCAATTTGCGGTGGAAGCTTCGCACAGTTGTTTTTTACTTCTTCTTTATGTAATTTACATTTTACCGGTTATTTGCGTGAAACGAACCACTTTTGTTTACAATTTAACATGAGCTCGATAAACAAAAAGAAACCTGTTTCAAACGTGATCATTCCGTAGTAATAAAATTGTTAGCGGTTTTTGGACTCTAATAAATCTTCACAAACAACGACAGTGGCTTGTCAAACGGAAATTGGTGCAATTTGGTATTGCGATTGTCGAACAAAAACCAAGACCGCAATTGAACGATCATCGCAGGGAATTTTCTACACAAATTGATTTGACTTTAAAACGTGCCACAATGTTTGATACGGCAGATCTTTTCTTAGCACTACATAAAATGGAAAAAAAACGTTCTGAAACTTTTGAGTAAAATTGATCTGGTTTTTTGATTTTATTCTCGGTTTAAAACTGAAGTGAATTGTGAAATTAAATCAAATGTGTGTGTTTCAGAGGGCTCACCTTCTTCCATTCCACGTCCCAATTCGTTGGGTGTTACTTGTGGCAGGCTGATTTGAATTTTGCGACCGCTAATGTAATTGGCCAATTTATCCGTAAGCATATTGTTGAGGAAATAATCGCGATCTTCCATGCTGCGAGGCATCATTTGATCCAAATCATGTTCGTTGAGTGCTTTGGCCGTTTTTGCCGTTGCTGCTGCATTTTCAACGCCAACCACACGAACGCCATCACCAACGTTAATCACATCGATTTTTGAGATGCGATCAATAAATGTAACGGCTTTTTTCTTCAAACACATTGCCACACCGCCATCCGATCGCTGGCACTCGTCATAGATTCGCATTACTGTTCGTAATCCTGGTGCTGCATTATTACTATTATTTGTTCGTTGCTCCTCGTCGATCGCCGCCGTCGCTGCCGCTGCTGCTGCTGCCGAACAAATCACTGCCCATAACAACACTATGACAAATCCACTATAGACTTTGTGCAACATTTTGTCCAACTTTTTTTTTTGTTAGGTCGCTTCAAAAATGTTCAAGAATCAATTGAGAAAATTCTTCGCGCACCAAAAATCAAACTCAAACAATTTTCACGTACTGACCGATGAAGTAGAGGAAAAAAAAACAACGGAACAATCACAACAAAAGGAATCACTCGCCGAGAAAAAAAAATTGAGCAAAGAAGCTTGAATGAACACTGTGTGAACTGTGCTGTGTTTTTTTTGTGACTTTGACCGTGCGCTGGCTAGATTCTAACTGGTGGTGTTCGGTGATAAAGCAGTCATATTTATATAAAAATCGTGTGAACTTGCATTTTATTATTGTAATCAAATTGTATGGCTGTGTGTATGTGTGTGTGTGTGTGTATATGCCCCGACACAGGCGACGAGAGTGTGCGCTGTGAGCACAATAAGCCAAGTACACAATGACTACGCGGCGACGAGTCGACAATGGCGCAAATGTCTCGGTGAGAAGTCAAGAGTGTTGAACGAGAACGAGCGAACGAGACAGCCCGAAATAACAGCAACAGCAATAAGCGAAAAAGCTAAATGGAAAAATAGGTAACGAAAGAAAATACGTGAAAAAGTCTACTAACATAGATTGAGCAATGCAAAGGAGAATTTCAAGTTGGTTCGACGGCGAAAACAGTGTAGAATGGCAATGCGAATCTCTTTTGCAACGAGAGAGTCGAAGAGAGTGATGAATGTGTGTATTGGAGCTAGCACACGGACGGCGGCCACAGCGTCACGGCTACGAATTCCGTTTGTAAGTGTCAAAAGAGGAGAGGTGAAATGAAGCAAATCCGATTTCGATTTCGATTGTGGCCAGCCCTCCAATCACAAACACACATACTCTTAGCTACTTGGTTCATTCTGGTTTGTCAGCCGCACTAGATCATAGACCGCACGAGCAATGTGAGCGAGTGAGGAGAAGTTATTCGTTTTGATTCAATTGAAGCCGCATAAGGTTAAACGGCACTGCTTTGATCACCAAAGAAAGCTGTGAATCTATTCCGTCGTGGTCGTTTGGATGTAATGCCAAACATTTGAACTACTGGCGATGGTGATGTGTGTGTGTGTATATGTATTTTACAACCTGGTACAATTACATATGTTATACACTTTTCGAAATATCTATATTTTATGGCATTGTTTGTTTGAGTCACGATCCGCAATTGCGGGAAAAAATTTCTTCTTCTCCATTCGCAAAGGAATCTTCCACATCTCTATTTTGATAGTGTTTTTTTTTTCGTTTTTTATTGGTAATCAAATCAATCCGGATGCATCTTTAATCACATCGGCTCTTCCAGTGTGTATTTACCACAACGATGGCAAAATCATTGAGATCGAGAGAAAGCAAAAAAAACAACATATCGCATCGCACTGCTTCGGATGCATACCGATTTGGCCCGTTTATTATTTTCCACATTCATAATGATATCACATTTATTATTCGCAACTCTTCGTCTTCGTTATTTTTGTTGTTGCTATTATTATTATTATTATCATTAATTTTTCTTTTTTGTTTATCATTAGCTATTTTTGTAGGCTTTTAATTCCGTCGACTAATTTCATGACCTTTCTCCTCATTGTTATTATTACCATCGAATGAGATTAGACTTCACGATTCACTTGCGTTTCGGTCGAACCATTCAAATCGATTTCAAGCCATAACTCTATGTCTATGCGCAAGATGTGTTTATGTGCATGTGTGATGGCAATTCTTTACGTATAGAAATGGTTTCAGCGATAGACAACAGCAGTAGCATCAGAAGGCAACAGTCTTTCATTCTTTATGGCATCGTTGATGATGATGCTGCATGGATGTTTGTAGCGATTTGCACGGTGCATCTTGAAACAGGCACATACCGAAATAAACCTCAACTACATTTGACCTCTATACACAGTTCCCATGTTGAAGAGCGCGCGCCAGTTCGCCCATGTCGAATGAACGAACGAATGAACGAGCAAGCAAGTGAGTGAGCGCTAGCGTACAGAGAAAATAGCATCAGTCACAACGAACATCGGATGGAAATGAGTCAATGTTCACGAAGGGGAGAAAAGATAAAAGTAACGACGAACCGCTGAATGCTCGCATCAAAAGCGATCGCTTTGCCTTCAATGCCATTGTACTTTTCTTCATTTTCCTCCAGTTTATCAAACTATTCATTTTTTTTTCTCTGCTGTGTTTTTGTTTTATCGCCAGATCACAAGATTAATCGCATTTAATATAATGTTGACAATTAAATAAGCGAAATGAAAGCATGCAAAATACGCAAAACGATATGCTAACAGTGGAATATTCACAGGCGCACACGTAGCGAAAAAAAAATGGCAACGCTTGAAAACGATCCCAATGTCAGACATTAATTACATTATTATATTTCGTTTACCCGCGTTTGCCGTACATTTTATTCGAAATCCATATTTTCTCAGCGTTCATTTCATTTCGTCGTCATCGTCGTCATCGTCGTCGTCATCTTCGTTGTTGTTGTTGTTGTTTATCTCAATCTATTGAGCTTGAATGCGAGAGAGCCGCTTGCAATGCATCAAATATTAGGCTTTGTATAAAAGCCATAAATTAGATACTCCGGTATATAACCCATGAGATTGGGTCGCATTTGATCACCATGATAATGGGTGGTGAAAACTCAAGTGAAAGACTAACAACAAAATTCGCTGGAAATGAAAAACACGAGCCAAAACACAAAGCCCACCGAATTAAGAGATAAACGCGCATTTGATGGAAGCAAAAAAAATAAGAGTTTCATAAATGGTTCAATTTGCATCGTTTTGTCGTCATCGTCCACGGTTGATGGTCAGTCAGTTGAAAGCGGCGTATAATAATTTTTTTTTTGTACCTCCGTTGATACCATTCTCGTTCGATTTCGTTTGGCCTTTGCGAGTGAGCGCATGCGAGAGAGAAATGACGGAAATCAAAGCCAAATAGCATTGTCTTGTTTTGTAAGAAGCTGCTCGAAATTATAGTTTAATAGACGTGTATTCATATCGTACAGCCATGGTAAAAGAAGTAACACAAATAGTTAGGAATTAAGTTGTAATTACAAATTGGACAGCAGCAATTGCAATATAATAGACAATTTACCAGAAGACATCACACAAAAGCCAAATAATTTTCACTGTTTACCTCATATCTGGTAGTATAGCGGGGGGAAAACGAAGAACAACGCGGTAATACCAATCAGTTGGCCATTGTACAGGCGTCATTTCATAAGACATAATAAGCGTAGAATGAGCGATTTTCTGAAGATTTTCGTTTTTTTTTTTTGCAGTTGCTGCCGCTGCGGCTGCTAAATGAAAAATCAACCACAACTCGGAATTTCTCTTTGCCAAACGAGTGAAAGAAAAGGAAAAGTACGCTCATGAAAGTCGAAGTGAAAAATGCGGCAACCGATCACTAGAAATTTTTTTGGAATCATTTCATTAAAGAAACAACATAAAAGAAAGAAAAATAGTTTGTTTGGCTTGCGGTGCATGTATGACAAATGGGCTATGCAGTCAAATGTTGACCAAGTCACATACTCTAGAACACATTTTTACTTTTTAAAAAGGGGACAACAATGTACGACACCCATACGATTCTTGAATGACTTTGCGAAAAACAGAGTAGAAATGAAGAATAAGAAGAAGGAGACGCGGCAAGCAAGCATTTCTGCATTAAATATTTATAAAAATAAACATTTCTCACTTGTCTCAGCCGGTTCCGTTAATTGCCTAGAATCAAAGACTCTTCCATTTATTCTATAAACAGAACATAGTTTTGTGCAGCAAAGGTAAAGGCAACGAACACAGTTTTGCACCGGGAAAAGAACATTGTTTTGCTAGAAGAGAAAATGATGGAAAGCTACACATTTCGATATCGCTCGAACCCACTGAACCCGAGAAATACTTTTGATTTTTATCGCTATGGCCTACGTGATGGATCAGTGAAAGAAATTTCTTTTTCCTTTGAGGTGCGCTTTTAATTTATGTCATTAGAACAAAATGACAAAGAAAGTTTTTGTTTATCGTTCGGTTTGGTACAACGATATCCAGTTAATACGCACTTTGGTCATACCGGATCGGACTGAGTCGGTAAAGAATAAAGTGTTGGGCCTGATGGCGCTAATAAAAAAAAACCTTTACCACGGTTTGAAATTTTCTGGGCGACAGCATTTTTTTGTTTTGCTTTTATTAGCCAAGGCGGAAATTTAATCATTAACCGAAGAATTTGTCTCCATGAACACATTCATGTGTGTTGTTTAACAATATCAGCACGTCTAATCGGATGATGTGGCTGAGTGTTATCTAGGTCACACATACCGATTTTGTTTCATAAATAAAACAACAAGAACCATAATTTATACGTTGAATCTCACCAAAAACACACGATCCGCAATGAAGAAACAGCAGCAGCAGAGGGAGAGAAACAAACGAACGAAATAAATTTTAAACAAATTACAAAACGTGAACGAAAGTTTTTCTCGCATGTCAATCCGTGCCATCAATTTCATCGATTTCCTTTGTGAGCTGCAGCATTTCTCATGAAAAAAAAAACGAAAAGACCTTTAGTGCCGATTGAATGTAAAGAAGAGGAAAAAAACCTAAATGTATGCAGCTGTTCTTTTGTTTTTTTTTCATCTTCGTTGGCGCGCCAAAAATCATATTTTCAGTTATTACAATCGATTGTTTTGCGATGGATGCGAAATGAGAAAACGTGCATCTGATGAATGACGTGGTCAATAAATAATAACGATAATTTGATTATCCCAAGATCAATCACATCATCGAGCATTAATAAATGGTTTCGATGGCCAAAATTTGATTGTTTTGCGAACACTTTTTCGCCTCGCATCCCAAAATATTGATTGGTTTCGACTACTAATCGCGCACCGATTGGCTACTGATTCCCATTAGCATTCGAAATGTGATGATGTGGCGGATTTTCAAGCGTCTTCCTATCATAGTATATCAATGCTCACGCAGGTTTCTATTTTACACGCTGCGGCCCAAACAAAGCGAAAGAGCATAAAGAATTGCTCGCCGAGCGATTTTCATCTGGTGAATATAAAAAAAAATTCACATGGGGTTAATGGCAACCAAATGGAAAAGTCGTAAAGCTAATTTTTCTCCCGCTTTTGGGCTTCAACGAAAGAAAGTGATTCAAAGACGAAATCATAATTGAATATCACAATTTGGTTTCACTTGACTCTTGTTTTTCTTCTTCTTTGTTCATTTTTGGCATTGCCCACTCTTATAGACATTACATTG